AGTTGCTGGGAATTGAACTTTGGACCTCTGAAAGAGCAGCCAGTGCTCTTAACCTCTGAGCCATCTCTCCAGCCCAAGAAACTCTATCTCAAAATCCAAAAAACCCAAACCAAAGACAAAAACAAAAACAACCTCCCAGAGTGGAAACAAGGGGTTTTTTCTTCAGACCAGGCAAGACAGTTGTTTGTTGTGTTCTTTGACTACAAATTGGGTAGGTTAAAGGAACAGAATTTATTCTTTCATTATTCTGGGTGCAAGATGTCAGAGTTGTTAAGACAGGCCAACAGGGTCATGCTTTCTACATAGGTATGGGAAAATCTTTCCTGCCTTTCTCATTTGGGGTCTCCAGGCTTCTCTTGGCTTTGTCAGCATTATACTTCCTCATGGACATTTTCATCTATGTCTGTGTTCCTTCTATTGTCATAAGGATACAGTCCTTAGATTTGGGACCTCCAAGTTAATTTATAATGGTGGCAAAATTCCGTTATTGTCTAGCATGCTGGAGTATACTATATGTGTGTATGTGCATGTATTTTGCCTTCAAGTTTGTCTGTGTACCATGCGCATGCAGGATACCCACAGAAGTCAGAAGAGTGCATTGAATCCCCTAATATTGGAGTTACAATTCTGAGTCACTATGTGAGTGCTGGAAATTAAATCCAGGTCCTCTTAAGAGGTGCAAGTGCTCTCAACCACTGAGCCCCAAGTACACACATTTAATTCTAGAACTTGAGAGTGGATCTCTGTGAGTTTGAGGACTGCTAGTCTACAGGTTGAGTTCCAGGACAGCCAGGTACGATGAGACCCTGTCTAAAACTAATAATAAAATCAGAGGGAAAGTGTTTCTCTTAACCATCTACAAAGACACCCCTACCCACCCATACTTCTTTTGGAAGTCACTGCTATAGGCCATAATTGGGTTTGGACATGCATTTTCTGTGGTGCCATATACCCACCATACAGGATAGTAAGGACTACATTTCAGATGGGACATTTCTGAGGCACATCCTGGCAAAGCCAGGAAAGAATTAAGCTTCTCCCTATCTTTCCCTAGTCCCTGACATCTTTCCTCTGAACCTAGGCCTTGCCCTCAAGATGTGAACCTTTTCAGGATTCCCAACAACTCCTTCAGGATCCACATGATCCAAGCTTGCTGAGCCCCGTACCTCCCCCAAGGATGGACTGAAACTTGCATCATAGCCTCCTGCTTCTGCCTGTGATCAAGGTTACAGGGGTGTTATCTCTGTGCTGGCTAGCAGGGCTGCCTCCCCACATCCAGCCTGATCCTTCAATTTCTGACCCTCTGTGGAAACAGAGTCAGTCAGCTCCTGGATTCTCTGTGTTACATCCCTGGATGGCCACAATGCGCAACATTCTGGCTCCAAACCCTTGAGGTCTGGGCTGGGTCAGATACCTCTCTGGTAGGACCTTCATACTTAGCTGCCTAGGCTGGGTTTCTGGCAGCTGTCAGGCCCCTGCCTAGACTTTATAAGAGTAAGGATATAGAGAGGCCAAAGAAGCAGGGAGAAAACAAACAAACAAACAAACAAACAAAAAACCGCAGGTCAGAGGGTTAAAGGGCAGGAAGCTAAGCTGAGGAGGCTGGCCCCTGAGCCAAGGACCAAGGTATCTGTGGTGGACAAAGGTACTGTTCTGGAGTTGCCTGGAGCAAGGAAAGGTTGTTCTGGGAGGATATTTCTGAGGATAGTGTGAAAGATTGGTTGAGGTAGACAGGGAAGGGAAAAGAAAAAAAGGATCTCTGCCTCAGAAGCAAGAGTAGCTGCCACATCTTCGTGGGTAATTATGAGCTAAATGCCCTATGCTTCCACCACAGGAACAACCTGGGGTGAGGGAGGTGTGTAGGGAGGGAAGCAAGCTCTTCTGCCTGCACTTCTACCCCACTCCTTTGGCTCTCCTCCTAGGAGTACACTAACTGTCCCTGCTTATCCTAAGGAAGGTGACAGTTCCCCCAGTAGGCACTTTCGCCTATTTTTCAAAGCCCTCTGAGAGTCCAGCGCTTAAGCGGCAAAGGCAAATCTCACGGTAGAGACGGGAGTCCCCGGGGGCAGACCCTTAGGATCTCCAGGCAAGTCAGACTGAGACGTCCCCCTCCCACAGCCAGATGGACCCCTATCTTTGAGGATCCACAGGCCCTGGAGAAAGGCAGTGGCGTACGTGCCTCCTGAGGGAATGATGTCCCTGGCCATCCAGGCCAATCCTGGGTCACTGCCAGGACTACGTGCGCCCGGAGTGTTGCGAGTTTCCAAAGAGGGGCGGTTCTTCGACTGGGCGGGGGAATAAACCAGCCCGCCTTAACGTCGGTCTAGGAGGCGGGGCGGCTTCTTTGCCTCAAAGGGGCCCCCTTGTCTAGCTGTCTCATCCCGCTGGGCTGGTAGAGCACTCTTCTGCTAAGGGAGCGGTCCCAGCTCCAGGTCCAGATGCCGTGAGCCCGGGCCGTACCAACGCTCGAGGGAAGGAGGATAAGCATTGGACTGTACCAACGTCCAGTCCTGGGGGGACACCGTCCGGCGAGGCCGACCCGAAAGCCCCGCCCAGCAGGTGGCCGCCCCTCCCCAAGCCGACGTGCAGAAAGGAACGCGCCGGCCTCGCCCGCGAAGGGCTGCGCGGCCGTGGGCGGGGCGTGCTGCCTCCCCTCATGCTCAGTGGCTGCAGCCCTGCAGGGTGGGTCCTACTCGATCGGCCATTGGCTGCGAGATAGATTATTTGCATATGGGGCGGGATAACTGGACCCGATTGGGGCCCGACTTGGGTGTGAGAGTGGCCACCGCCGCCACTGAAGTTGGTCCAAGAGCTGGCGGTGGCTCTGCTCCGGGGTCGCAGGTGAAACAGGAGGGTTACGAGGTTGGCGGACGGCGGAGCACCTTCGAGGCTGCCCTTCCCAGTGGGATTTGGGGATTGGGCGGGACAAGAGAGGAGTGGCTCTGTTGCCTAAGTTGGAGGGGACGGGGGCGGGGACGGAGAGGGCGACCCTCCACTTGCCCGCCCGCCGGGGCAGTCCCTCCAGGCTCAGGACAGCCACTGCCCACCGCACACTGCGTTGCTCCGGACCCACTGTGCGTGTGACAGCGGCTGATCTGTTTCTGGGCAGCGCGAACCCCTGGCCCTTCAGAGACCCGGGTCTGGGAGGCGGGCAGGCGGCCACTCTGGGGCGGAGGAAGGGCACCTGGGTTCAGAGAGGCAGGGTAGCAGGCCATTAGAACACTGCACCTACAGACAAACCTGCATGTGTGAGCCCAGCTGAGACACGTTGAGCTGGGGGCGCACTGGGTGCTTCTTTGCCCTTCACCTGTACAACTGAGGTTGGGCCAGATACCCTCTTGAGGGGAACTTTCTTCTTATGTGTATTAGGGCTCCAGGCAAGCGGTCCCCGGAACGGCCACTGTCGAAATCATCAAGCCCAGGGAATCTCTGGGCAGGCAGAGGTGTGAACTTCGGCCAACAGGACCAGAGCCTACAGGACCCACCTCCTGAGGGCCACCTCTGGAACCTCCTCCAGGAAGGCAGCGGCAGCTTGAGTGCTTCTGCCTGTTTTTGCCACTTTCAGTGAGGGAGTCAGTGCCATGGATCTCTGTGGGCTCCTGGGACAGGCCTCTCCTGCTAGGTATGATAGCAAATTATCTCAAGCCCACCTGAAAGTGGAAAAGGGTACCCAGGGAAGCTGTAGGCTCCCGGGCCAGGACATCTGTAGCCCGTCCAGTCCCTGGAGTTGGAAGGGCAGGCTTAGCGCGGACCTCTCTAGACTGACACTAGTCTTCGAAGGGAACCCTGTCTTGTCACCATGGTGGCATCAGACTCTGTTCTGCACATGGGAAGGCTTATGTGGTCTCTTCGAGACTGCAAAGCTGACTCTCATTGCTGGACAGCTACTTCCTGGGGAGATCCTTTGAATTAGGGTTCTTTCTTCCACTTCTGTGCTGGAAATGAACAAAGCAACTGAGACTAGGAGGGGCCCTTGCAGAACCTGGCCCTGACTTCTGGTTGGATTGCCTAGTCATAGAAACTGCCCACCCCGTACTGATAGCTGGCAAGGTCCTAACATCACCTGTGTAGGGTAGCTCACTTAGCCAGGTCCTGCCCTGCCAGGGACCAGACATGTGTGAGCAGCTTGTCTGTTCCTCACCTTAGCATGTTTCACACCATTGTTTGTTTCCAATGTAAAGTTGTAAATTCCAAAGTAAACTTTCCCGTTAACTCAAATCAAGTTTTGCCTGGTGGTTCAAAGCAGTCTAACAACTCTTTGGAGTTATGGGAGTCTATCCACTTGAAACAGCTATTGAGGAGCAGAGCTCTACCAGCCTTTCCCCTCAAAGCACAGTGGCCACCTGAAGAACAGGACTTAGGTTCTTCAGTGCCACCAGCGATAGCATACTACAGACTGGACCTGGCCTGGGCAGGAGCCTCAGGAGAAAAGATGCTTATCCAGAGACAGCATGTGAAAAACTCAACTGGAGAGGCCACAACCCAGCTCCCTGTGTGGGGTGGTCCCTGGGTGGAACCTGGCATTGCATCCACTAGTCTGTGTGCTTAGCTTGGGGAGATGACCCACAGTGGGCTTAGGACCAGTGCCAAGATTCTCCAATCTCAGTGTGGGTAGGGCTTCAGGTGTGTGTGTGTCGGGGGGAAGGATCAGGTTCCTCAGACCCCTGTCTTCCTACTTAGGATGCAGCCCTAGTGGCTTTTGCACTCTAGGATCCACTCCATGTGACCTTTTGCTTGCCCCTGGCTGTCTGGAGCCACAGGTCAGGCAGGTCTAGACTACAGCGGGCTCAGGCTGGAATGCAGACAAGAGCAGTCTGCTGGAAGTTCTGGCTTGCTGACACCAGGTCAGGAGCCTCCCTCTGCTGCCTGGCCTCTCCCCTTCCCTGTTTCCTGCTTCAGGCAAGAATATGGTAAGCTGGGCGATGGTGGTAGACATCTTTAAGCCCAGCACTGGGGAAACAGAGGCAGTTGGATCTCTGAGCTACAGGACAACCTGGGCTACACAGAGAACCTTGTCTTGAGAGCAAAAAAAGAGAAAAGAATATTGTCTTTCTTGCTCCTTACAGGAGTGAGCTCCTGGTGGCCCTGGCCACTGAGCAGCTGTCATGGAGCAGCTCACATGGATGGCTTCCTTGCTCATCCATCACAGGATTCCCATGTCCCCTTTCAGTCTGCTCCAGAAGAAATGGAGAGCAATAAGCCGAGCTCAGGAGCCAGCTCGAAAGAAAGTCGAGCCCATCCCAAACACCCTCTTTAATAGGGTGTAAAGACACTCATAATCTATAGTGTTCCCATCTTGACACCCAATCTACCCATGGTTCTGATCCTCATGAAAATCTTCAGTCCAAGGAGCTCAGAACATGTGGCCTGCCAGGGTAACTAGGATTTTGGAAGAGGTCACTATCTGCTCAAGAGCCAGAGTAGTAGTTGAACTGGACTATGGAAGCATCCGTGCCCCAGTGTCAGAGCTAGAGGCCCACAAACAGGCTTTCCACTCACTCTAGGAGGAGAGGGACAGCCCTACCCATTCAATGCACATTTCTACCTTGGGGCTGGCAGAGTTTTCTAGGGAAAACTCCCTGGGCCTGGCCAACCCAGAAGTCACAGACTTGACCCAGGAGTCCAGGACTCGCCCCCACAAGTTCTCAGCAAACCTGACAGGCGGGTCTAGCTTGTCCTGGCTTCCTCAGTTCCTGCTGCTGGTGGCATACAGGCCAAACAAGGAAAGCCAGGGAAGAAGGGTCCAGATAAAAATCCAGGCCAGGGCTGAGGTGGCAAGCCTCACCAGGCTAGGGGTTACAAATAAATAACGCTAGGAACAGTCATGACATGGGGTCCTGGGAGCCTACAGTGCTTTCTTAAAAACCCAGCAGTGGCCGCCATGTGGGCTTCAAGTTCTGGACTGCAGACAATGCTCAGTAGTACAGCTTCAGAACACACTTAAGTACCTTTAAAAGGCAGTTTATTGAGGTTTGTCAGGGCAAAGAAGGCAGCACATGGCACACACCCACGGAATGAATATACTGTCCACACTACTCCAATAAGGAGTAGTGGCCTTTGGGGCCTGCTAAGTTCTGAACTGTGCCCATTTGCTTCTTCAGGGGCCTTGGGAGACTTGGAAACAAAACTATAACATGTTACCAGCACTCCTGTGCCCTGAATCAGAAACCCAAGGACATCATAGCTTTCCCAGCTTTAGGGAAAAAAAAAAATCCTGTGATCACATTCCCCCACTGTCCAGGTGGCTCATCCCAGCTGTGCTTGCTCATCTGTCCTCAGTGACCCCTACTTGCGTAGGAACTGCTACCTCCAGGAGCTCTGCCTCATTGGGGGAACTGCAAGAAAGACACAGGCTGAATGGGCTGAGACCAGAGCTGGGTTCTTCTCATAGATCAGGGGTAGGAGTAGGGAGAGAAACATACCTTCAGGACTCAGGCTGGACACTAGGATATGGCTCTGGGGGACTCCCTGGAGGTTCTCTTCTCTAGTTGGAGGCAGAAGGTCCTGTGGGGGAAAGAAGGTCAGCTGAGAACTATTGTAGGGCCCCCACCATCACCTCTTCCCAGAACTACTCTAACCTGGGTGCTAGGGCTGGTTCTGTCCAGCTGTGGAGGCGATGGCAATGCAGCCCCTGTCTGCTGGATAAACTGTTGCAGGTTGCACTGACGAAGTTCCCTGTTCAGCTCCTCCAGCTCCTGAGCCTGGGCCTGGGGGTACACAGGACCTTCAGGAACAAGGCCAAGACCTTTCCCACATACAACATGCTCCCTGGTCTGATTCTATATCAGAACCCTGAACTGCCTGCGCAGCAGGTGAAGAGTTGACAACTGGCTGTGTAGTGGGTAGGGAGCTGGGGGGGTCTAGGTCTGGGCTCACCTGGAGTGCGTGCTCAGCAGCCTCTAGAGCCTGGCTCACCAGGGCCAAGGTACCCTGCATCTCCAGACTGTGCCGCTCCTGGATGGCCAGGTCCTGGCGCAGGCGCTCAGCAGCAGAGGCGGTAGCTGACGGAGGACCAGGGGCTTCAGCAGCCAGTCGAAGCTCTGCCTCCAGGGCACAGGCCTGGGCATCTAGGGCCTCCAGCCGGGCAGCATGCTCGGCAGTGGCTGCACTCAGCGCTTGTAGGCGTGCCTGTCCCTCACGCTCCCTGGCTTGTTCTCGTTGTAGCTCCTGCTCCCAGAAGGCCTCATGGCCCAACTCCTCAGCATTCCTCTGTACCCTGAGTTCTAGGCCCTGCAGGTCTGCAAGGCAGTCTGGTGTGGGTCCTACTAGGGCTACAGGCTCAGGGGTAGAGGGGCTAGAAACCAGCTTGGTACATCCTAGGTTGAAGGTCAGTGCTTTGCGTGGTTCACGGCCTGGTTTTGCCCATGGCTTTGGGGGAAGGCTGGCACGAATTGGGCATCGTTCTGGGGGTGGACAGTTGTCTGAGGAGGGTCTCCCAGACAGGCTGGGCCCTGTCCGCCTCAGGACAAACTGAACATCACTGGCAAACTGTCCACAGGTAGCCTGGGCCCCCACTGGACACTCCTGTGGCAGCAGCTGTCGTTCCTTCTCTCTAAGACGCTGCACAAGGACAAAGCGACCTGTCTGGCCTGTGGAGGAAAGACAGGGTCAGCCTATGCCCCCCTTCCCTCCATCTACCTAGCTTCAGGAATAGAGCAGTCAAAGGGTGGAGTCAACACCACCCTTCTTGGGAGGGAAGATGCCGCTGGAGTACAGCCCCACCAGTTTGGCTTCTCTGTCCCCAGAGAACTCACCTATAGCTTGGGCTAGCGCGATGACCACTTCTTGGCAGGTGGTCTGTTCTGAGACCCCACATACCACCCGCTGGATGCCATCCACCCATACTTTCAGCTCCATGGCCACAAGCTCCAAGACCATACCTGTCCTGTGGGGAGGGGACAGGCCATAAGATCAGGGCAGGACTGCCTCCACCATAGCCTAGCCTTCTTCTTCTCTTGGCTTGCCAAAACAACTGGCTCAGGACTGTGGCCCTTCAGTCCTGTCCCCTGTGCCCAGCCCCGCCCGCAGGCCACACATTCCTAGAGTGGCTGGAGAACTAGTTTGGCTCTCTTGAGCATTTTCAGGCGTCCCCTCCTTCACCAACCTCCTCTTTCCCCATCCACTCCACTCCAGGAACAGGGCTAATCATTAACTAGGTCCAGGTTTTCCTGTCCCCTGGTAGCTTGGCTCAAAGGCCACTACCTTTTTCAAGCAGGCAGCCGTCCCCAGGCACCTAACAGCGACCATACGCAAGTACGACGCCGTCCACAGTCATGGGAACGACCCCAGGGAGAGAACAGTCTTGGGCCCGGGAGGAGCTCAGAGTCACAACCCAGACAGACCTCCATCTCCAAACCGACCCCAGACCTGAGCAGACCCCGTCAGTTCCCGGTCCGCCTGTAGAGTCCCTCCCGTCCAGCCAGTGCTCCGGTGGTCCCGCCCCGCTGGGGGCACAGCCCGCCTCACTGCTGATCTCCGGCCGCGCGGGATCCAGACGTCCCACTCCGCAGCGGGCAGACGCAGGTGCAGCCCAGCCACCGCGCACCCCTTTGCCCAGATCGGCTTCAACTCGGTCGGAGCCGGCTCCCCGGTGCCGCGCCCAGTGCTCAGGAGGCTCGAGAACCCGGCACAGCTCACCTGGGCGCTCGCCGGCCTCCGGGACTTGGGCGCTTCGGCGCCGCCTCAACCTGCCGGCCCAGCACTACGGCGCGCCCAACCTCACGGTCTCATTGGCTTGGGGCCCTCAAGTCCCGCCCCATGGCACTCCATTAGTTCGGAGGCGTGTGCCTTCCGCCCCACATCCATTCCCATTGGCGGCCTTCCTTGCACCACGCCCCATTGGCTCGTTACTCGGTCCCGCCCTAGAGGCATCCAGGTGTGGGCGGGGCCATGAGTGGGTTGGGGCAGGACCCGGACGCTTAGGATGCTCACCGCTGGTCGTCAACGCGGAAGCGCGTCTGCAGCTGCGTTAGCTCTGGGCTGGTTTGCCCAGGTGAGGTGTGTTCCCAGCTCCAGAAAGGACTTCCTTAGTAGACTTTCAGTGTGACTGATCTCCGCCCACCGAGAGGGCTTCTTACTGGAATCTTACAACCCTGACATGCACCCATATTCAACAGTCTTTTTCCCTTAACCAGACCGGTGGGCTAGGCCTCTTCAGCCCTGCTCCTTTAGGAGTCTGTGGCCGAGGACACCGGGAAGAGAAGCCGCATGAACGACCCCATCGCCACCGCCCGCTACGAGAAGTAGTTTAGGGGTCAACTGATCCTGCAGCCTTGGTGGGGGAGGATATCGTTCCTGAGAATGCCTGGGACAAAGACCTTGGGGTCTTTGTTTGAAGCGCCATTCTCTCCCCTCCCCCAATGAGCCCAGTGTCCTCCAGAGCAGCCCGTCTCTCCCTGAAGTGGGCCCCTGCTTCAATGTTTTCCCTGTTGTCCCGGTGGGCTAAATCAAGCCAGTCCAGCGCCTCCATGCGCTCTGCCCGAATCAGAGAGAGCTGTAGGAGGGGGTTCCCATGCCCTTATGGCCATAAGGAAGCAGATTTGGAAGCATGAGGCTGTGGAAGAGACAAGGTAGGAGGAGCCTTCTGGGCCTCATTTCCATTTTGAGATGGAAGCAATGTCTCCCAGGGTTCACTGCTGGAACCACCTTTGGGGAGAGCCTAGAGGTATGGAGATAGACACAGGAAGATAAGGCTTCCAAGGGTTAGGTAGATGGCTATCAGACACAGGCTCACTCGTTGGCTAGAGATAGCACAGCCACTTCAGGCTCTTATCACCATCCTCATCAGCCCCCCTAATCAGCTCATCTCCCTAGGACCATTTACCCACTCAAGACACCTACACACCTACTCATCAAATTCACTCCTAGCACACCATTGGCTAGGGATGGGTTCCAAGGCGGAGCTCCCTGGGCCGGGGCTTAGCTGGGCGGGTATAATCTTGCTCAATTATCCATACCACACTGACACAGAATGCACTCATGACCCTGGGCTTCGTCTCCCTGGAGGCTTCTAGTAACAGACACCCTCCCCCCGGTGCAGAAATCCATGGCAACAGTATAGAATGCTTCCCTTCTTAGGCCTTCTGTGGTTTTAGGCCTCAGGTGAGCGTGGGGGTAAGTTCCTGGGCTGGAGGGACATGAGTAAGAGTTATAGGCAAAAGGTTAGCACCTCTGATCTTAGTTCTAGGCTGAGGTCAAAGTGAACAAAGAGGAGACACCATGGAACATGTACATACTGGGGACATGCTGCCTGGAGAGTGACCTGCTACCCTAGACTGAAACATACACATATGGACACATATGACCAGCAGTCGGTCCTATGTTCTATAGGGTGGACACATGTGTAGGCCTCTTCAGGGAGAACTGGCAACTGCTGTCTGGGCCTCCCTGACAGAGAGTCCCATGAGGTACCCACACCTGGGACACAGGACAGACTCTATTCTTCCTCCTTCCTTTCTAGCTCCTGACCAACATCGACCATGGCCCCTAAGTCTTTCCAGGAGTGTGAAGATGAGCAGGTGTTGCCAGCTGCAGCAGGTGTAAAGCCGGACAGCAGTGACTTAGGGTCCTCAGATGGCATACCTAAAGACACAGCGGCTCCCTCATGTTGCCGGGACTCTAGGTTCTACAGCATATCCATACCAGTCAAGCAGCAGTAAGGAGGCAGGGGGTGGGGCGGCCTCCTGGTCTGGGCAAGCCGAAGGGCTGGCCTGATCAAACTACAGGGGATTGGAATTGCAGGTTTTCCCCTGAAACCCTGGACCCACGTACCCTGAAGCTGCTGTGGGAACAGAGAGAACAAGAGATCCAGGCACTTCGATGGGTTCTTCAGAAAGGCCAGGATGCCCGACACCACCAAATCCTGCAGGAGGTGGCAGGCATTACTCCCGGGAGGTCAGTGGTAAAAAGCCAACCTAGGTCCTACCTTGTTCTAGCTCCTACTTTCTCACCCCAACTTCAACCACTGAGCCCTCCTCTACCTGACTGCTTCTAACTTTAGTCCTAGTGTGACTTGACACAAGTGCCCTTGAATAAACTAGTGTGCTGGAAATGTAACCCTACCCCTGAGCATGTGGACCCCTGCCTTGGCCTGCTATAATACGTGCCTTCTGGGTTTGATGGCCTTGAGGCCTACTTCACTGCTGACCTACTCTCAGGAACCTTTGCCTGACCCAGAAGTGCTGAGATTGCCCCTCCTACCAGGAACGCTCAAGATAAATTCCTGCAGGACCAGGTCCAGAAGCTTACCACGGAGCTGAAAGAACAGAAGAGACAAGCTCAGCTGGTGAGGGGGTGGGATGGGGAACAGGGCAATACTTTGGCAGGCAGTAGCTACCTGGTCTGGAAGGTGGGGCTGCTGGAGGCCTCTCTCACTGGTGGGCACTCTTCATCAGGAAAAAGAGCAATTGGAGGAGAGACTGCAGCAGAACCTTTGTACAATGCAGCAGATGGAGGCTGAGCTGGAGGCCTTCCAGAAGTCATGCCTTCTACAGCTGGCCCGTTCCTCTTGGGTGGGACGCGTGCTGAAGTCTCAGACTGGCAGTGTGGAGGTGAGTTTGTGCTCCTGGCCTAGTACCTCTCAGGCATCCCTCCCCAACACTCCTTGGGCAGCCAGCACGCTTCTTTGGGCAGGTGCTCTTTAGATGGGGCTCTTGGCCTGCCTGAGAAACCTGCTTGGGATTCCTCCTCAAGGAGGAAACCTATGACCAGCAGTCCTCCTCATCTAGTACACAGAGTGCTGTTAAGGTCAAAAGTGAGAGGCCCTGTGGGGAAACGGTGTCCTCTCTCAAGCTTCCCACCGGCTGGTTTGTGGTTCCTTCTTGCAGGTGGTCACTGCCGAGGTTCTAAGTGACCCCCAGGACACTTCTGAATGTACTGAGGCTCCCACTGCTAGGGAGGTGAGCAAGGTATTCCTCAAGTATGGTGAGGCCTCTGAAGCCCTGCCAGGTGGGAAAGCCACAAACCTCTTATTTCCTGCCAGGGTTTCCGGTTAGAGGATGTAGATTGGAACAGCATTGCCCACCGATATCCCAACCTCTTCACCAGCATGAGTCTCCATTCAGATCAAAAGTAACTGAATTGAACAGGGAGTCCCCAGGGGTCAGGGGAAGGGAGGACTTGACTTGACAGAAGTGGACAAGTTCTAATTGTATCCTTATGTGTCCCCAGCCAATCATGTAACTCTTTTTCAAGCCTCATCTGTGAGATGTAGTATGTAGAATGGGTTCAGGACAAGGAGAGGAACTCTAAGGTCATTAATTTATAAGCTGGGTCTGACTTCTGAGTTCCTAGAACACAAACCAGGGTGCGTATTGCCTTGGGGAGGCTACCTGGGGTTGGGGGCATACATGGGCCCTGGGTCTAGAAGCCAAAGGAGCCAGTGAACATATCATAGTTCCAGGATGCCCCAAACCCACCTTTCCTCCAAAATGGATAGCTCAGACACAGAGTCCGTCACCAAGCATACAGAGAAACCTGGCAAGATCCTGGACTGGAGCACCTTGCCTTCGGCAGACACCAGCAACACGGAGGGTGCCGACTCTGACAGCAGCAGCCACCAGATTGTTCTGCATTCTGGAGCAAAGAAGGTGACAGACCACCCACCCCAGGGGACAGACTTAGCTTTTTCTGAGCGGATGCAGGAATGCCCTAGGAGCAACAGCAGTCACACAGAAGGTGAAGCTGGGTACACCCCCCTTTCACCCTTCAGCAACCTCTGACCTCTGCCCAAAGTCCTTTGGCTCCCAGGGTCCAGCTGCTTCTGCCCAGGATCTGAACCCTACTCCTGCTTCCCTAAGATTCGGACCCCTGCTCTGGCCTCCAGGGGAACTAGTCACTGTACTCTTGTGTTCTCCCTCCCCTAAAGTACTTCTTTTTCTAGATCTCTATAAAAGCCACTCACCTTCGAGTAGCAAGACTGTTCTGGAGCCCTATGAAGACCTTTACCACCAATATTCAAGGCCCCAGTTGAAGTGAGGGCTGCCCAGCCATGAGAACACCAAAGTGGGAAGAGCTACATGATGGGTGGTTTTCTGGGTGGATGGGTCCCCTCTTCCCTACTCAGCATCCCTTTCTGGCTCCAGCCCACTTGGTTGCTGCTTGAAGATTGCTTCGGTCAGCCACCGAGAGAAGTTCATTTGCATCCTCAACCAGTCAGAAGAAGAGACAGTCGACCTGGGCGGCTTTGTTCTGCAGCAGCTCGTGAGGGACTTCCCTGTGCGCATGTACCGCTTCCCACCTGGTACTCTGCTAGCCCCACAGCACCACATCACCGTGAGCCCTACTGCCTGCCAACCCAATTACCTTGCCCTAGCCCCCACTGTTCCTTTTGTAGTACCTGGCCTTTCCCTAGGTATGGGGCGAAGGAACCAGCAGGATGAAGAAGCAGCTGCCAGGGTCTTCGGGCCAGGACCCCTTCCAATTCCAGACCAGCCGAGGCTGCGTGACAGTACTAGTCAACCCTGAAGGCAAGGTCAGTGTTGACACCGGCCAAGGAGCTGAGGAGGCAGCTGGTCTCACCAGGTTAGAGTGAACTGAACAGCAGACCCTGATGGCCTTGCCAGGTCCTCAGTGAGCATCAAGCTGCACCCTGTGTGACCCTGGGCTCGAAGATCTTCACAGACAACACTGACTGGTCCATTGACCGCTTCCCGCTCTCAGAGTTGGAGCCCAGTGTTGACCCTGGTGAACAGCAGCGTCGTCTTTCATCTTTACACAAAGGCCGGCCAAGGGATGCTGGGGCCAAGCGCAAGAAGCCAGGGTAGGCACAAGCCCCTGATTCTACCTTACAGAAAGCCATCCCTTATTTCAGTGGATGCTGCCTTAGGCAGGAACACTACCCTGGCCCGTACTATCTCGCATTATGCCCACCTTTGCCAGGGACTGAGCAGGCCACTCCTCAGGTCCCTCCCACATCTACAGGCCAGCTGTTCGCCAGCATCGGCTCGCCAGCACTAGTGGACTGAGGACCTCAGGATCTCTTCGCCCCACAGAGACCCGGGGTATCTTGCCACTGCTCAGTACCCGAAAGATATCCCCAGGGGAAGTTCCTGCACAGCAGGAAGGCATGAAGACTGAGACATCAGAGCTCTTGCCTGTGATCCCAGAGTGTGCCTCAAGAGTGGGTCTTGAAGATGCGTTGGGTAGGCAGGAGCACAGGGTTCAGGTGAGTGTGATGCTGTGGCCCCAGGTTCTCTGGTCTGCCAGTCCACTGGCTCTTAGGCCCCAGTGTTTTCTGCAGGTGTGCCGGAAAAGCGTGGACCTGACTTGCCCCATGGTGGCCCTGTCAGTACAGAGCACAGCCGAGAGCAGATATGGCTTCCGCTTCCTCTGCTACCCTCCCATCACCCAGGAATTGTGCCGGCGGTTGTAGGGCAGCCAGGCCAGGCAGGCAGTGCCAGCTGCATAATTTATTGAACTAATGGTTGCTTAAAAAGTAAAGCACATTTCAGCACACCTGAGAGTCGAAGTGATTTGCTTGGCTTTTAGAGAGGGTATATGGTGTCCCAAGAGAAAGGAACTGTTCCACGTGGGGAAACCTGAAAATCTACCCAGGATGGTTTTGCCCTTCAGAGGCCTAGGATAAGCAGGCTCAGAACTTGGGACACATAGGTGACCCAGAGTCCTGGGACATCTAAAGAACCCAGGCCCATCTCTAGCCACTTCAGCCTTGGCCCCACCAAGGCCAAGAGATCTCAGCAAGGGAGGGTTTACACTAAGGGAGAGAATGAGCGGGGGAAATAGGGTTCAGGTGATGAAGGTAGTGGAGGCCTGGAGGGCAAGCTGCTGGACCCAGTGCTGGCTTTGGGTCTGAACATCCTTGGGCTCGATGGCTGGGGCCTGAGGACACCTCCAGGGCTCTCAGGGCAGTCACTGCAGCCAACCTCTCACCCAAGACAGAGCCCTCACCCAGGCTAGGCCCCAAGCTGCCCAGGACTCTAAGCCTACGTCCTCTGAAGGGCAGGTCTGCAGATCTCCCTGAGGAGCTGACGCCTGACTCAGGTGGCATTGGGTACTTTGGGGGAGAAGGGATCAGGTGAAAGCCTGATGTCCAGGAAAATTCTAGAAAGCAAGGAAGAAAACCGCATGTCAGAAAGGACCTGTCAGACAAGGTGGGGGAGTGTTAGTTGCTGCCCATCCATAATCATGCAGCCTGGAAATGGTGGCAGACTAGGGGCAATGCAACTATAGGTAGAGAGGGTTTCAGTGTCTTTTGTGGTACCTACAGGTGGCAGTATCCCTGTTCCACTAGGTCACTTCCCTTTGTACTGCTTCTTCTGCTTCCCAAAGAAAATGTAGTTTCAGTCCTATGGTTATCTCCGGGGCAGTGATTCTCAACCTGTGGGTCACAACCCCCAAGGGGTTGCACACCAAATATTCTGCATATCGTATATTTACATTATTATTTATAACAGTAGCTAAATTACAGTAGTGAAGTTTCAATGAAAATAATTTTATGGTTGTGGGAACTGCACTAAAGGGTTGCAGTATTAGGAAGGTTAGGAACCACTGCTCTAGGGCAAATAAAGTGCCATGAGGCCTGGGTTCTTGCTCTGGGTGATCTGAGCTCCCTGAGGGCCTGGTGGCTCCAAGCCAGTTCTTAAGCTTCATAATTGTGTGAGGTGGGTGGCTAGGGTCACCCAGTGCCTTCTAGGCCTGACATCTGTAGCAGGAGGTCCAGGTACCATTCCAGTCAATCCTTCTGAAGGTCACCTTCCTACTGTCCTTTAACCTGTGCAGTTCTTGTCTACTGGGTGGCCAGCTGTTGAGCCTGCTTTATTCTCAGGGCCCTCTTCCTGCCTACTGTCCCAAGCACCAGCCAGTCTACAGAGGGGCAAAAGTATGGTTGTTTGGTCCTTCAGAGATGTTCACTGGCAACCTTTGTACTTTTTTTGCCCATGCCTACAGTGTATCTTCCTAAGGCTTGCCCACTCTTGCTGAGTAGTTGTCTCTTCAGCAGCAGTCACTCTGGCTCCCTTGGAAAGGGTTCTGCCTGGCTTAATTTTGCATCCCTATGCCAGCACAGGTCAGTCCTGCCTAGGCTGAAGTTACCAAATGTTCCTAACTTTCTCTGCTTTGGTCTCCTGGTGCTTCTGTTGGCCGATTTCCTACTCCTGGAATCCCACTAGTTTCTTCTGAGAACTGGTGTCTGTTTCTGGTTACCTTAAGCACCGTGAGGCTCCCAAAAGAAGCTTGTCTCTGAACTTGCCCTGTATTCTCCTTTTGTGGCATGCCTCCCTCCTCCCATTTATTAGCCCAGGTACCCTTGAGGTATCATGGGGTGGAGGAAGAGTTGGGACTGAACCCTCCCTAGGTTATGAAACCCACCAAACTCCCACTTTGCCAAGAAGAGAAAAGTCTTATGTAGCTCCTCCCAGAGCCTGACAAAGGAAGGGGCTGAACTATATTATGCTGCTCTAAGGTGGGGTACCCATACCTAGATGAGGGATCAGGCTCTGGGGTAGTACCTGAGGCCAGGCGTGGGGAGGTTAGCGAAGTCTTGGGCCCAGTTTGGTCTTCCTGTTCTTCAGAAGCCTTCTGTGGGTCCTGGGCTGTGACCTGAGCGGGTGTTTCAGGCTGGAACTCCAGCTGTCTGTGGAAGAGGGGACTGAGGTGGGAAGAAGGGAAAGCTTAATCATGTCTGTTATAGGCCCAGACTCAAATGCCATCACACTGGGATAGATCACTGGCCAGTGGCTCCTTTGGCCATCTTGGAGGACCAGTGACTGTTCAGCCAAGAAAGCTTCCAGCCCAGATAACCCCCACACCAGACAGGAAAGAAGGTGGTAGGACTGGTAGGAAGAGGGGCACCAACCGCAGGCCAGGATCCCTCCAGGCCCGAAGCCCAGTCATGGCCAGCTCACAGCTTTCTGCAGGGTCAGGCCTTGGGGTGAAGGGGCTGATAGTCAGATCTGGCTTATGTGGGGGCAGCTGCTCCAGGGGTGCCCATTCCTAGGGAGGGAAAGGACTGGTATAGGGACCTTGACCCTGGAATGGGAGGGCCAGAGCTTGGGCATGCCAGTAGTTCTGGACACTGATGTATGGTGGAGGAAGCTCTGGGTGGTGGTCCAGTTCAAGGGAAGGACTCTGGGTGATGGTCGATTGTGGGGTAAGGGCAATAGGTGATGGTCTACTTTGGGAAGGGGGCTGTAGTTCTGGCCTACTTTGGAGTATGGAAAGGGCATACCTGGTACTGGTGTCTACGTTCCCGCAGGCCTTTGGTGGGGTTCCCACAGAGAACTTGACCTGGACCTGAAGAAGAGGGTGTGGCTATGCCTGGTTTGGGGCCAAGGTACTACAGAGTCAGCTCTGGATCATATAGATTCAGTTACCATGGGTGAGGCTGCTGGCATGGTCTTCTGTGGTCGGGTTCTCAGAAAGCAGACCTTCAGGCAAGGGGCCCTCAGGAACCAGTAGGGACAAGGCCCATGGCTTGGTCTCAGGCATAGGCAAGGTTGGGTCAAGTTTCCGAATGGTGGCTCCATGGGGACAATCTGTCCAGGGTCAGAACCAGAGACAACTTGGCTCATGCTAGCAAGCATGCTCTAAACTCAGACCACAGAGCACAGCCCTGTCACTCAAGAAGCTGTGTGACCTAGGGTTGGCCTGTGATGGTTCCTTTTCCTTTCAGAAAGACCCTCAGCCTCAGACCCTGCTCTCCCTCAACATAGGAAAGGGGAAGCTGCCAACTGCTATTGCTCATGAGAATATCTTGACCTAGGGCCAATGTACATGGTTCTAGGGAGATAAGCTAGGAGATAAGGCTGGGAAAGGGAACAAAATACAGTCACCCATCTCTGAAAGGCCTGGGGACCTAGTGGAGGTCTTTTTTTCCTGGGGTTGAAGGAAGCCTGTCCTCTTGGGGTACTAGTAGAGGCCTGTCTTTCTGGAGGGCTGCTGGAGGTCTCTTCTAGAGTCAGGGGCTGGGGCATAGTATTGATATCCGTAGTCTCTGGCCTACCCAGCCGAGGGAGCAGAATGTCAAGCACGCTGCCATCCTTGATGGCCTCCTTCACCATCAGCCAGTCCTGGTTCAGCTTCTGGGAAGCAGGCAGATTGGTGCACGTGGTAGGTATCTCATCTAGGATGTGGAGCTGGGGGATGAGCTTCTTTACCTCTGCCCTGTAGTTGTAGTCCTGGGGTGCCTATAGGGAAGGGGGAGGAACACAGCAGATCTGGGTCTAGTAGGCCCTATAGGCCAACTACTTCCTGGGGCTCCCTCTTCCAGACTTCTATGGTGTAGGACAGAGGAAACAGGGTAGTGATACTACGTCATCGTACTGAAGACTTGGGACTAGGCTTTTATCCTCTCAGAATATGAGCCCTCACCCTCCAAGCCCATAGCCAAGGTTCAGGGAAGCTCTCTAGTATGTGGAGCTGATCATGGATCAACACCAACAAGCAGCTATTGAGGTGAACAGTGAGCTTGGAACATGCGTGGCCTTTGTGGGTGCATATGGATTCACCTGCTATAAATGACCTTGATATTTCCAGAATTAGGCTGTTTAGGTGTCCAGTGACAGAAGAGATAAAGCTCACAGAGAACAAGGTAGAAGGTGCATGTGGGTACAGAGGTTTCTATTCTGTGGGGACCCTCCCAAACATATGCTGACTGGATGTTCCGCCACACACCTTAGAAGGGCCAGCGTCTGGCTTCAAGCACACCAGATTCCCCTCCAGTGTGAGCGTGGCCAACCGTGGGCACAGCTGCAGGTACCGCATCTGCCCCAGGTCCTCCACATCGTTGCCCTCAAGGTCCAGCACCTCCAGCTGCTCGAGCAGGCACAGTGGGCTCAGGTCCGAGATGTTGTTGTAGGAGACATAAAGTTCCTAAGGACCATATGGGGGAATCTGGGGGTCTGTCCTGGTCTCTGTTCCTTGCCCCTAAGCACTACAGACTTACCTTCAGTGCCAAGAAGGAACCAATGCCATCCAAGTCAGTCAGGCCACAGCGGGCTAGCCACAGCACCTGCAGGTGGCCCAGAGAAGTGCCCAGGTCTCTGCAGAAGGCAGGCAGAGTGGTGTGATGGTTAATCTTCCATGCCAACTTGACTGGATTTAGAATCACTTAGGAGACACATTTGGAGCATGTGTCTGTGAAGGCATTTCCAGAAAGGTTTAACTGAGGGGAGATGCACCCTGAATGTGGGTGGCATCTTCTCATGGGCAGGGATCCTGAAGAAAATAAGATGGGGAAAGGAGAATGCCAGCTGATTGCTGGCATTCCCTTTTCTCTGTGTTTTTAATCTGATCAGATGTGAGCAAGCTTCCACTCCCACAGATAGGAGCTGCTCCTGCTGCCATGCCTTCCCTGCCATGATGCTATATCCCCTAAATCATCAGCCAGATAAACCTCTCCTTCCTTACATGCCTTCTTTCCAGGTATTTGGCCACAAGCAGAAACAATAAAAAGTAACTACTCTAAGTGATCAGTGCTGTCATGGGGTTGAGCGTTCTGTCTTTAGCTAATAGAAGCCAATGGCATGCTGCCACCCACTCTGACTGCCTACAGGTGTAGGGAGAGGTGCAACTTGCTTGTGGTAGTTTCCAGCAGATGGACCCCAGAGATCCTTACTCTTCATCTTTCCCTGCTGTAGCATTCTGGGCATAGTTAAAATGTGTTCCTGGAAAGCCTATGTCTCTGGGCACAGAGGTCCCTGGAGTGTGTTGGGGCCCCTTCCCAAACATGCTGACTGGGTGTCCAGCACCCATATATTGTTGGAAGGACCAGGGGCCAGCCTGAGACATACCAATTGACCCTGAGGAGCTGCCTTCAAGCTGCTGCCTTGGCCCAGCCCTACCTGCTACCTGTTGCTATCCCTCTTCCCTTGCCAGCCTACTATAGACACAGGGCCTCTTTTCCCTGCAGTGTACATGGATACTGTGTCTGAGAACCTGTCCTTGCTCTCTCTTGCTGTGATGCTCTTCCTGTAGCACTGAACTGCCCTTTGCCTAATAGTACAATTGCCACCTGACCTCAGGCTTCATAAACTACCACTATTTCTCATGGTCCTAAGTCCTTTTGGTAATGATTATCCACCATCTTGGGGCTTGTTTCCTGGGGCTTGTTTTTTGCTGTTGCTCTAGGATGTACATATGCTTTAGTCTTTGTCCTTCAGCTGTAAAGATTCAGCATTTACCCTGTCAGTTGCCTTAAGTCACCATTTTCTTTTTGAAATTCGTGTGTGTGTGTGTGTGTGTGTGTGTGTGTGTGTATGTGTGAGTGTGTGTATGTGTTTGTGTCTGTATGTGAGTATGCAGCACTTTTGCGCAGGTGCTCACAGAGGCCAGAAGAGGATATCAGATCCCTTGGAGTTAGAGTAACAGCTGGTGATAAGCCACTTGATGTGGGTATTGGAACTGAATCTAGGTCCCCTGAAGAGCAGTACACGCTGCTCTTAACTACTGAGTCATCTCTGCAGGACCCCTTCCCCTTTGAGATGTTCTCACTCTGTAACCCAGACTGGCCAGGAACGTGAGGCAGTTTTCCTGTTTCAGCCTATTAATACAGGTGTGTACCACCATACCAGCAATCAAATGACTAATTACCCTTTGGATAGAATCATTTGTTTCTAATGATTCTTTCCAGATCAGCTCACAGAGACTTCATCTCTTGGTGCTCATAGACACCCGCTGCTTCTGCTGGGATGGCCACTTGCTTTGGCCTATGTCTTGGCCATGCTGTCTTCTTGCAGGTGAGGGCAGTGCTCCATACTTTCTTCTTTTGAATGTTTTGTGGAAGTTTGAGGAAAGCCTGCCTCCCCACCACACTTTTTTTTTTTTTTTTTTTCAAGATAAGGTTTCTCTATGTAGTCTTGGCTGTCCTGGACCCACTTGGTAGACCAAGCTGGTCTACGAACTCATAGAGATCTACCTGCTTCTGCTCCCAGAGTGCTGGGATTACAGGCATGTGCATTGCGACAGGTTCCCCACTCCCTCTTTCTTAAAATCAGTTTGAGGCTGGGCGGCGATGCTGGTACACACCTTTGATCTCAGCACTCAGGAGACAGAGGCAGACAGATCTGTGAGTTCAAGGCCACCCAGGTCTACATAGTAAGTTCCAGGATTACCAGGATTATATCAAGAAACCCTGTTTAAAAAAACAAAGCAGGGCTGGAGAGATGGCTCAGGGGTTAAGAACACTTGCTGCTCTTCCAAAGGTCCTGAGTTCAATTCCCAGCAACCATGGTGGCTCATAACCTTCTATAGTAAGATAAGGTGTATAAATAATAAGTAAATCTTTAAAAAGACCCTTTTTTTCTTGATTATTGTGGAGTCAGTTATGTTTAATTCTTTTCTATCTAAAGCCTCTTTAATTTCTGACAAGTTTCCTTTAATCTTTACTTTTTGTGTGTTCTATCATGTCAGTTTACTTCTGTCAAGATTCCAGATTCTATGTTAGGCTTTCTTTATCTGCCTCCATCTCCATTCTTTTATTTTTCATATTTGTTTATTGTTTCTGTCTATCTCCCCCCAAACACTCGTGCCCTCTTTCTCTTTCTCTGTATGTACTCATGTGTATATATGGCATTTATGGAGGTTAGAGGACAATATGTTGGAACTGGTTCTGTCCTTTCTTTGGGATCCTTTTACAACAATATTTACTTTTCTTTATGTGTATGTGTATCTGAGTGTATGCCAGGTGTGTGAAGATATCACGGAGCTGGAATGAAAGCTGGTTGTTAGCCACCTGACATTAGTGCTGGGAACCAAATTCAGGTTTTCTGGGAAAGCAGCAAGTGTTCTTGAGTGTAGCACTATCTCTCTTTTAAACTCTGTCATAGATAGTTTTAGCTTTATCACCCCTGTCTTTTGTAGCTCATATTTGTTTCCTGAAGCGTTGCCTTCAGTTTGTTTGTAGCTGAGGCAGTTTTGTTGTTTTGGTCCATTCATTTCAGAGCTTGCCCATTTCTTCTTGCAATCTGGAGCTCAGAATTGTTTCATGACTGGGCACAACTTCAAGGGAGTTAAGCAACTTCTATTTCTTTTGGTGGAACACATACCCAGGAAAAAAAAAAAAAGGGATTCTTCTTGTTAGAGAGGAATAAGTATTAGAAATAGATTGTGCCATAATAATAGGAAAACTCTAAAATTCTTACAGTTGATGGCAAAAAGCAAAGCATATACCATTTGCAGAGTCTTGTAACAGACAGAAAGAAGAGTCTAGATTTTTAAATGCACTTACCAAAAAGTTAGAATAGCCTGGTGTGGTGGTATACCTGTGTTGCAGTTTAAGAAGCTAAAGGAGACAACATCATGACCTTAGTTCAAGGCTAGCCTGGACAACCTAATGAGACCCCATCACTTAAACAAAACAAGCTGGGTGTGGTGGCTCATGCCTTTAATCCCAATACTAAGGAGGTAGAATCAGGTGAATCTCTGAGTTCAAGGCCAGTGTGGCTTACAGAGAGATGTAATTCCAGGACAGCCAGGATACTCAAAGAAACCCTATCTCAAAAAGCCAAAACCCAAACAAATCAAGCCAGGCACTGTGGCTCACACCTGTATTCTTAGCATTTGAGAAGTGGAAGCAGAGACAGGAAGAAATTCAAGACCAGGGGCTGGGGAGATGATGGCTCAGTGTTTAAGAGCATTGGCTGCTCTTCCAGTGGACTGGGGTTCAATTCCCAACACCTACATGGCAGCTCATGGCCATCAAAAACTCCATTCCCAGGGGATCCGGTGCCCTCTTTGGCCTCTGAGAGCACCAGGCATGCATATGGTGCACTGACCTACATGCATGCAAAATGACCATACATAGAAATAAATAACAATAATAATAAAAGAATTTTAGGTCAGCCTTGGCTATACAGCAAGTTTTAGGCCAGGTTGGGTTACTTGAGACTCTGTCTGAAAAAAGAAAAATGCTGGAGGATTAGAACAACTGAGGCAAGCACTCACCTCAAGGAGAAGGAACAATAACAAAAGCCAAGAAGAATGAGGTCAAGATAAGGATGAACCTGTAACAACCAGAGACTATTAACAACCTAGAGTTGATTTTCTACCTGGTAAGGCTGATGAAGGATTAAAAGAAAGAGAGAAAGATACTGCAAATATAATGCAGGAGTCAGGTTGATCCAAGGGGTTCACTGGCCAGCTTACCTAGTTGAAAGAGTAAGCTCTGGGTTTAATGACAGACCCTGTCTTGAAAAATAACGTGGAGAGTGATAGAGGAAGACACTCAGTGTAGACCTCTGGCCTCTACACATGTATACAGGGGCAAGGGCATCTGTGTACACATGTGCACATAACACATACACTCCACCCCTACCTACTACCACAATGAACAACAAAAACCTGATTTGAAATAAGGGCTCTCCAGGTTTGAGCCGAGTTGTAGTTGTTTTGTTTCTAAGACAGTGTTTCTCTGTGTAGCCCTGAATGTCTTGGAACTCATCAGACTGGCATCAGACTCATGGAGAACCACCTGCCTCTGCATGCAACCACCACACCCAGCTGGTTTGAGCCAAGTTTAAAAGTATGTCATAAAACTGGGGATGGAGGCATATCCCAGTACTCAAAAGGCTGAGGCAAGAGGATCACCATGAGTCTAAGTATAACCTAGCTGCCAGAAAGAAGACACATATCTTCACCATATATAAGCTGAGGATGACCACTCACATGGGATTATGGGCATGTGCCACAATGCCTGGCTTACCTAGTGCTGGGGATCTAACAGAGGTTTATATACACTAGGAAGGTACTCTATTGACTGATCTACAGTTTCAGCCAATTTTTTTTAGTTTTTTTTTTTTTTTTTTTCGAGATAGGGTTTTTCTGTGTAGCCTTTGCTGTCCTGAAATTAACTCTGTAGACAAGGCTGGCCTGGAACCCAGTGATTCTCCAGCCTCTGCCTCCCAAATTCTGGGATTAAAAGGCATGTGCTACCACCACCCAGTAGTTTCTGCCAATTATTAAAAAGTTTTGCTAGCTGGATGTGGTGATACATACCTTTAATCCCAGCACTCAGGAGGTAGAGGCAGGCAGATCTCTATGACTTCAAAGCCAGCCTGGTCTACAGAGTGAGTAATCCTGTCTCAGAAAAAAACAAACAAAAAGAAAAGGAAGAAAGGAAGGAAGGAGGGAGGGAGTGAAGGAAGGCAGGAAGGAAGGAAGGAAGGAAGGAAGGAAGGAAGGAAGGAAGGAAGGAAGGAAGGAAAGAAGGAAGGAAAGCTTTGATATTTGTTCCCTTCCTCCCTCTTTTCCATCCTTCCTTTCAATTTTTGGGATAGGGTCTCATTCTTCAGATCAGGCTGGGCCAGAATGCACTCTGTAGCCCAGTCTGGCAACAAACTCATTGAAATACCCCTTCATCTGCCTCCTAAGTATTGAGATTACAGCTTTTAACCACTATACCTGGCAATATAGTATTTCTTTACATTTGCAATAATTATTTTTTAAAAAAATGAGAAAAGAGCAACAACCATAGCCACTGCAGTATAAGTAGCTTACGTTGCTCTGGGAGCTGACTCTAGGAACCACCTGGCCTGGTGGGGAAGCTGGTTGGCCCACTGTGACTATAATTCCCATCTCTTAGATAACAGTCGGTAGAAGAAACTGTGCCGGTACAGTTCTTACCGGGGATGTGGAAAAGGGTCTGGGGACATTGCTTATACCACCCCAAGGAAAAAAGTCCCTGTTGTCTTCCCATGGCACATTTCAAGTATGTGTATTGCCTTTTTCCCATTTCACTTATAGGGCCCACCCTGCTACAACATGACATCATCCCAGCTAACTGAGCCACAGTGACTCAGGACTGTCAAGGTCAGTCTGGAGTAAGGACAGCAGAGGACAGTGTAGCACAGACTGTGAAGTTACACAGATAACACAGTTCTCAGGTGGGAGGAGACCAGCTAATGGCCTAGAGTTCTGAACATACACACAGACCAGACTATAGTTTATTGGGAATGACATTGTTTTGCAGACAACTTTGCACCAGAATGTAAAAGATTATTCCTAGGAATCAACAAGAAAAGAGAATCCATCCCTAATTAGCACATGGTACAGAAGAGGCCCAGCATCTCCAGCAGGGAGAGAACAATGATCGATGAAGGTGTGTAAAATGGGTGCATCCAGTTTCTTTTCTTTTTTCTTTCTTCTTTTAAAAAATATTTATTTTTAATGTATGTGAGTTTTCTATCTACATGTACACCTGAATGCCAGAAGAGGGCACTAGATCTCATTATAGATGGTTGTGAGCCACCATGTGGTTGCTGGGAATTGAACTCAGGACCTTTGGAAGAGCAGACAATACTTCTAAACATCGAGCCATCTCTCCACACACACACACTTTTTTTTTTTTTTTCTTGATACAGAGTTCCTCTGTGTAGCCTTAACTCTCCTGGAATTAGCCCTGTAGATCAGGCTGGTCTCAAACTCAAAAAGGTCTGCCTGCCTCTATCTCCTGAATGCTGGGATTAAAGGCATGCACTACCACTGCCTGGCCATCTAAATATTTTTTTAAACAGGTTTCAAATTATCTATGGAGCATCAGTGCATGTAAGTGGGGTTTCACACAAAATGGACCTGAACAAAAGATGCTTGTCCTAGCCCTGACAGAATGAAGTCATTCTTTGGCAGTTCTAGCCCATGTATTTAGAACATTTGTATGTGTGTCAACAGTTATTTTCAGGGGCTAAATTATCTCATCTTTGGGTGAAATGACAGACACTACATTAAAATTATGTCCTAGCCCTTTTAACACTGCCTGAGATTTTAATATATAATACTCATCTTTGCAGTCATCTAAGTTACAATAGCAGTTTATGGAATGCTGCTTTTCACTCAGTTTCTTGTTACAAATATTTGTTCATTTTCAATTAGTACAGGTTGGTAAACACCAATGAGTCTAGGTGCTTTATTTGTTAAACATCAATGTAAGAAATCAACTGGAAATAACTGGATGCTATACTTGGAGTCCAATTCAGGTAGTTAAGAACTTAGAGAAAGTGAGAACAAGAACAGAGTGGGGTGTGTATGTATGTGTGTGTATCTACTGCTGTGGGCCGAATCTAGTACTTCATGTATGAAAGATGAGCATTCTCCTGATCTGTTTTGTTTTGTGTAGCCCTGGTTGTCCTGGTATCACTCTGTAGCTCAGGCTGGCCTTGAACTCACAGAGATCTACCTGCCTCTGCCTCCCAAGTGCTGGGATTAAAGGTGTGAGCCACCACCGCTCTTTCTAGAATTTTGACTGGAATTTCCCTTCTTACACTTCTAGGCTTTGGGCCAGCAGCATGTTCACAAACACCTCTGCCCAAACTACCAGTCTGCTGGTACTCTTGGCTTTGTTCTTTCTGGTCTACAAGGTGCCCTAGCATTTTGAATGCTGTTTTTAAAGCTTAGTTCCTGAGAACTCTGAGAACACCAAGCTTTCCTGACACTTGAGTCCCTGTTCAGGAGATCTATGCTCTGCTGGGTCTAGCCTCAAGTGGAGAGTCAGCTTGGAGGCAGCTCCTGCCTTACTCTCTTTTCTAGGGACTCTAGCCACTTCCCTCTATCTCCTGGACCTTAGGGTGTAGTTAATGCCTGCGTTGCAATGACAGGTAAGGGAGTTTTGGAACCTCAAAGTCTAGACTGTTTGGGGCTGTCTTCCAGAAACTCTCACTTTGCTGGAGGCCAGAGAACAGTTTTGGTTTGTCAGCCTTAAGATCTGTATGACCAGGACCCCAGCTTTGGTTTTAGTATCACTTACATGTAGCAGGTGCCTTCCCATGAGGGTGAGAAAGAGGCACTTGCTTCTTTACAGGGTATTAGAAATAGAAGCCATGATATTCATCCAAGATATTCAGAAGGCAGGACATCTGGAATGCACCCCCAAAGGCTCTTACCTCTGGAGTCTCCCCTCTCCCCTTTCATGGAGCCCACACACGAGTAAATGTCTCTGCCATTTGATGGCAGCCTTCACCTGCTAAGGGTCAACAGGTGGAGCAGACTCTTGAGAGTAGGGGCAGCCTGCAGCAGCTGCAGTTTCAGACCCCAGCCCCTGCTTGCCCTAGATCAGGCTCTCACCTGAGGGAGCCCAGGCAGCTGTGGTTCAGCTTCAGTTGGATCAGGTTAGGGAGGTGCATTCCTGTGGGCCACAGGAAGAAGAGGTTGGCCAAGCCCCAACATCACTGCCCACCTCTTTGCAGTGTCTTCTCCTTCCCACACTCCTGAGAGGTGCCAACATCTGAGGCCCCTCTTCTGGCTCCTAGTGGCGCTGACTCTGTGGGTCCTCTGCAGGTATTCTGAGCTTCTCTTCCTCACAATGTGGATCTTCATGCCCTTTTACCCATGTATTGTCTAGCACAGGTAAAATAGGTGCACACACTGGCAAAAGGACTTGGCTTAAAGAAGGGGAGCCAGGCTGGCATGGGTGAGGTGAACCCTGAACATCTCCCCTCACAGGTCTTTCAGCATGCAACATTAAGTAAAAAGTCTCAGGAATGTCCTGCCAGTGTCCTGCACAAGCCTAAAGCTCCAGGTGAAGGCCCCCATTTTCAAGCCTCTTAGGGTAAGATACTGGCTTTCTGAGACAGAATCCCTGAATGATGAAAAAAGGGTGTAGGGTGGCCTATAAGTCCCCAAGGAACAGCAGGTGCCCCCTGATGTCACAGGTCCACAGAGATACTACACTGAGCTATCAAACACTTAAATGCAAAACTGAAAACCAAGCTAAGTAGGATGGGGAATGCTTAACTTCACATGTAATCAGAGAAAAGCAAACAAAATGCAAAACTACCCTAACAGCAAGAATCTTTCCTGTTGGGACGGTGCTGGTGAAATTTGAACAAGGTCTGTGACATAGATAAGAGTGCTTTATCAGTGTCCTTTTCAGACTTGGATCATTACACTGAGAGTATTTAAGATAATGTTCTCCTTAGGAAGTGGCACTAAAGCAGTAAGGAACAAGAGGAACTGACTGTATCTTAAACAGATTAAGAAAAGTTACTCAAGGGTGTGTGTGAGTGTGTGTGTGTGTGTGTGTGTGTGTGTGTGTGTGTGTGTGTATGCACTCATGTGCATGCAGCTGAGAGGGAGACATATACAGAGAGACAGACAGAGAGAAAGTTAAGATCTCTGTGGCAGAAGGAGGTTCTGGGGAAAGGGTACACGAGGGCTCAATATAACATTTGTGCACTGTACCTATAAATTCGAGATCATTTTCAAACATGCTCTGGGAGTACCTTGGATGGAGACATAGTACCTTTGCTATTTTGCCATACTGGTTCTGGCATTTGGGTGTGGTCCCTCTGAAAAGTCTTTTAGGAATATAGACCCTGGGCTAAAACTTCTGTCTAAGCTTCTTAGTTCTAAGGTCCAGTTTCAAGGAAAGAGACATGCTGCCCAGGTTTTTGCTAGCTTTTCATTTACAACCAGGAAATAAAACTGGCTCACTGAAAGGTCTAGCTGTGATAGTCACAGGGGCATGGGTGTGGCCAGTGGTTCTCACCGAAGTTCCCCAGGCTGTTCTTACGGGTGTCCACACACATCTCCAGCACCCTCACCAGTTGGAGGTCATCTACCTGGGCCAGGGCCTGCTGCAGAAATCATCAGGTGTCACTCCCAGTTTTCTCCATGCTTTTGGCTGAGGACTCTGTAAAGGTGCCTACTGGAGCAGGTGGCAAGTGTTCTCCTGTCTCATCCAGGTTGGGCTTGCCAATAACAGTTTGGCTGGTGGGCATGACATGAGCAGAGATTGTAACAGTTTGCCTGTCTGGGAAGGAGTGCTGCCAGGGAAGGGCCTGCACTTGGGATGCCATTCTCCAGATGAGACCTTCAGAACAGACCCAACAGTGCAGTTGGACCCCAGAGCCCTGCTGAGCAGTATCTAGCCACAGCATACCTGGACCAGAGGACACACAAAAACATTCATGCTGGAAGCCAAGGGGCCCTACTGCTCTGTTTGTTCTTGTAGATGGACTAGACAAAGCCTTCTTGTGTGTGAAATGCCCAGCAAGGTCTCTTAGGACCCTGGGCCACACATGCTATGGCATCAGTGGACACCTTGGGGAGCACATGTAGGTTCTGGCGTAGCAGCTTACTAGTTATTCTGAGGAGGTCCTGGGTGATACCATCCATCAAGAGTCTCTCCTTCATTGTGGCCAAACATGAGTATGTTGCAAACTCTAAGTACTGGGAGCATTTGGGTTGCCCAAGGGAATTTTATAAAACCTTAGGGCTCATGGATAGGGTATAACAATGGGCTCTCACACTAGTTTGGAGGAAAGTCTGTACCTGCTGCTAATATAGGCAAGGATAGACCCTACCTCAGGCAGGTTGAGAAAAGACCAAGGAATTCTAGCCTTAGGAGGGGGTGCCATGGACCATGACCAGCTGTCCTTCCAGCATCCCACTATGCCACCTTCTACTCCTCCCTGCTGCCGCATTAGCTCATGAGTAAGGGGATTCTTGTCTGCTTGAGCCCAGGCCTCACCTAAAGTTATGGAATCCTGGCCCAATAGTGCCATCTGTGATCTCAATGCCTGGGGATGCTTGTGTCACTTGGGGTTGCTGGCAGGGACCCTAAGGGTGGAAAAATAGGGGTACCTAGCAGAGGGAAAGCTAGCTATCAGCAGGAAGAGTGCCAGACCCATGCAGACCCATGCAGGAGCCTGAGGCCCCAGTCACTTACCAGCCGAGCAGGGGTTAGGTGCTCGTCCACCCGCTGTTCCCTGTGGATATCCCCATGGCTGCCCAGTCTCTTGTTTTGTGGGCAGGGGTTGTTTAGGCCCTGCCAGCTCAGCTCCCGTACCCGGATGCTAGCTGTGCCTGGCCGAGGCCCCTGGGATCCATCCCAGGCTGGGTCCATCCACATCCAACCTGTTTGTAGAGGCAGAGGCCAAGTCTCCTTATTTACAAGGCTCTAGTTCACATCCATGGCCCACAAAGCCTCTAGATCAACTCTGACATCTTCCCACCTCCTAGCTTGATTTGGCCTGAGGGGCCCTGGGCAATCTCCATGGTATTGATAACTGGTCAGCACACATTCCTTCCCCTAGTTCCAGCTCAGACTTCCTGCTTGTGCTGATACCTTCCCTTTGCTTCTGTATTTTGGAAAAAAAAATGCAGAAAAAAGAATATCTATTTTATAATTTGTGTGTGTGCTAATATGTGTGTGAATATATGTGCATGTAGAGGCCAACTCTGGGTACCGTTCCTCAGGTGCCATATTTCACCCTTTTTTTTTTTTTGAGATAATATCTCTCACTGAAGTAGGCTAAGGTGGCTTGCCAGCAAGTCGCAGGCACATGCCTGTCTTTTTCTCCCCAGTGCTGGGATTACAAGCTCACACTACCATGCCTGGCATTTTATATGGGAGTTCTGGGGATCAAATTCAGGCCTTCATGCTTACAAAGCAAGCATTTATTGTCTGAGCTATCTCCTTCGCCCCTTGTTCTGTATTGGTTTCCCACAGTGTCCAAACAGTGAGTACTGGCTCCAAGCTTTGCCATCTGGAGCCTCACAAAGGCGATAGGGCTGGGAAGATAACTCAGTGGTTAAGACCATTTGCCGCTGTGTTTAATTCCTATCACACATATTGGGTGGCTCACAAATGCCTGTAACCAAGGGGTCTGATGCCCTCCTCTGGCCTCTGAGGGCACTAGTGCTCTGTGCTACACAAACACACACAGAGGCACATATAAGAGAATTTTTTTTTTTTTTTGAGGCTGTGAGGACTAGGGATACTGAACAAGATGCCTGAAGTGATCAGCAGCAAGCTGTTATTGACAGTTCCCTGAGCTGACCCAGACCCTGGCTGTGGATCCTTCTTCATTAACGGTCTCTTGAGTCTAGGTTCAGAATCAAGATAATAGACATTCCCTCTACCCACCCACTTCTCTGCATGAGGCCCCACCTGCAGGTAGCTGGCTCCTGCTGTAGTTCAAACATCCGGGCAAGGGGGCCACATGTGTCTACATGTAACACCTGTAAGAGAGAGTTAGATTAGCTTTCTGGCTAGGTACTGTGCACTGTAGCCCTTGGGCCGAGCTGGCCAAGGTCATAGGCACCTAGGTACAAGAATGGGAGGCTGTTAGTTGGGGGCTTGGTTCTGAACTCCCTGTGACCATTCTAATGGGAGATAAGGTTCCTCTAATAAGAAAGAGCCAGGCTCCCTCTGGGTCACACAGCACAAACAAAGACATGATTCAAATCATCATCCAAATCCTACTTCCATTCCTAAAGGGGATCCTGGGTGTACTGTTCTGAATTATCTTCTGTAGGCCCACCTCTCCTGAGCTCCTTCCCATACCTTTGGTAGAGTTTTTTTTCTGGTGCCTCTACACCTCTGGCAGCAGACTCATATAGAGTTTCTCCTTAAAGATCAGAGGTCTATGTTTAGCGCCAGGTCTTTTATTCTCAAGAGTCTATGGGCTGGAGTGAGAACTCTGCCCAGAACATTAAGTATCCTCTTGGTCATCGCCCCTGGCTTCCATCCAGGTTTGGCCGACCCCCTAACTCCTGCACTTCCTGTCTTTCACAGATACATTTTTCTAATAAGAGTGATCCCTTTCCACTGCGCTTTATAATTTATTGCTTACTCAGTCCAGTGTGTCTTGTCCCACAAGAAGTGGGCCCCACTCCTCGGCCCAGGTTCTCTCCCTAGCACAAAGGACACGGAGAGGCAGTTCCAGGCTCTCACCTGAGGGGTGGGCCAGGCTGCACAAGATTTGGGGCGCAGCCCTGAGCCCCTCCACCGCGGCGGTCGCTCTCTAAAGTGAGGGCTTTATTTTATTTTATTTTTTTTCTCTCACCGCGGTGGGGTTGAGGCCCTGGCGCCATGGCAACGGGGGCGGGGTCTAATTTGAATACCCAAATATTCGTGAGCCGCGGGCATCCGGGGCTAAAGCAAGATGAGCCCCGCCCCCTAGCAACGGTTGCCGGGACACGCGGCAGATCCAGTGGGAGGGCTCCCTAGAGTAAGAGAGAGGAGCCGGACCGCTGATCGCAGGGAAGACACTCACAGTGGTTCGGAGAGCCGCCCGTGAGGAGCTTCTGGTCGGCTCTCGCTTATCTGCCTGCTGATAGCATCGGCCGAGCCGAGCGCGCACCCCGGGCGGCACGTGAGTGCGCGCCCCGAGCCTGCACCACCTGAGTAAAGCCCTGTCTACTTTCTGAGGAGGACGTGCTCACTCGTTTCTTTGAAAATTCAAAAAGTGTTGAAAACATGTCATTTGCGTCTGACTGATGTACCCTACTTGCTTGAGTGGGTGGTACACTTCATTTCGCCCCAATACCAACTTTTCTGACTTCCGGGATCGTTCTTCAACTGGGGCGCAGTCTGAGTTGCTGCACGATTGGGATCTCGAGTTTGGGGGAGGTAGGGGTCTTCTCCAAACCACGAGGAGCGCGGTACGACGGGCTGTCGCTGGCCCGGGATGGGGCCTTCGCGCCACCTCGGCCTACGGGAACAGGCAGCTTGGGGTTCCGGCGGACCCTGTCTTCCTCTGGTGTGCCACGTCCGCGGTGCTGACTGTCCTCGACGCCAGGTCCCCGACTGACCGACCTTTCCGCTCCGTGGGCCTTTGAGCCTCTGGTGAGGCTGCAGGGTAGGGGCTCTGTGGCAGGCCCTGCGACGCAACCGGAGCACACGCCAGTTTCTCTCCGGAGGAATCCCGGGCTCGAAAGCACCGTCTTCCTCACTCTTGTGCACCTCGAAACTAGGCTTCACTCGCTGAGTGCAGCACCCGGGTCGCGACACCGCCCTCCCTGCCACTCCAGGAAGCCCCGCTTAGCTGCGGCTTCTGACGGATGGGTTGCTCAGCCAACCACAACAGGTCGCGGTGAGGCGGAGCTCGACCAATCACCGACCGTCTCGAGTTGACGGACGGGCGTGGGGCGGAGCGGGGCGGGGCGAGCGCGGGCCCGGCCGAGTCCCCGCCGTCCGCGCCCGGCGCCCGCAGCCCGAGCCGCACCCGCCGCGGACGGAGCCCATGCGCGGGCCTAGCCGGCGCCCGTCCGCGCCCCCGCCCTGCCCCGGCCCCGGCCCCGGCCCCGGGGGCAGTCGCGCCAGCAAGCGGTGAGTGCGGGCACGGGGTGGGGCGCGGGACGCAGGTGATCGGTGCTTCCTCGCTCCTCTCGGCCCGGCAGCGTGCCTAGAGCTCGGCTGCCTGCCTCTGCGGCCCGGCCCGCCCTGCCTGTGGCCGCCCTCCCGGCGAGACGCCGCCCGGGCCTCCGGAGACTCTGCGCCCCGCGGCCATCACGCTCTGGCCTCGGGGCCACAAGGACACCCGCGTCGGGCCCCAACCGGGGCCTTCTGCTCCCGGCCACCCCTCGTGCCCCTTGTGAGGCTTTCCCGCAGTCACCTGCTCCCCACACCCTCAAGCCGCCCTTTTTTCCTGCTTGGTGGAGACTCCCTGGCCCCTTGTGGAAGGGCTGTCTTAGTGAAGGGAAGACTCCCTCTCCACCTACCCTTCCCCCGCTGCCGGGACCGCGCCTGGCATGCAGTAGGCGCTCAGTAAATACTTGTCGGTTGCACCCACATGCCGGCGGGCCGGAGCCGGTTGTAGGCTGGCATTGGCCTGCCTGGGCACGCTGAGGCCGCCGTGGCAGGACCTGTTTTTGGGGGGTGGCCTCAGCCCTCGGGCGCCTCCAGTTGAGGCTTTCTGCCTACCTAGCGACTTCTAATTTGGGTGCGTGGTTGGGAGAAGCTCTCAGCTGTCAGCCCTGCCTCGGGGGCCTCTCCTTGCTTCCTCACACAGCCATTAAGTGCTGTTGGGGGAGGCGGGGGTCCTCACTGTCCCAGCTGGAGGTGCCACAGGTGAGTGACCGGGCCACTGGCTGGTCTGCCTGCCCGGTCTGCCTGCTCAGTGCTGGAGAGGGCCTTTGGGTGAGGACCTATTAAAAGTCTCAAGTGGCTAGGGCCTGGCTAAGGCTGGTTGGTTCTTTTTGGCAGGTGGGGCAGGAGTTCCTGGAGTGGTAGCCCCTGGAGAAGCGATGACAGAATACAAGCTTGTGGTGGTGGGCGCAGGAGGCGTGGGAAAGAGTGCCCTGACTATCCAGCTGATCCAGAACCATTTTGTGGACGAGTATGACCCCACCATAGAGGTGAGCTCTGGCTACCTGCCTGGGCCCTGGCAGTGGTCATGGGTAGGAGTCAGGACAGGCCACACAGCCCGGAGGGGTATGGGTGTGGCTCCCACCTGATCCATCAGGGTATGAGAGGTTCGAGGGTAGGCTGGCTCTGTGGATTCTCTGTCTGAGAACCCTAACCTATGTTCTTTTTCAGGACTCCTATCGGAAACAGGTGGTCATTGATGGGGAGACATGTCTGCTGGACATCTTAGACACAGCAGGTCAGGAAGAGTACAGTGCCATGCGGGACCAGTACATGCGCACAGGGGAGGGCTTCCTCTGTGTGTTTGCCATCAACAACACCAAGTCCTTTGAAGATATCCATCAGTACAGGTGAGCTAGGCCATGAGCCCTTGGCACATGTGAGGAAGGTTCTGTGTGCATACTGAGGCTCTGTGCCTTCTCATGTGTGTCCTGGACACAGCCATGCTTGCAGCCTGCTGGCTGGCTCTCATATACTGCATCCCCTTCCAGGGAGCAGATCAAGCGGGTGAAGGACTCAGACGATGTGCCAATGGTGCTGGTGGGGAACAAGTGTGACTTGGCCGCTCGCACAGTTGAGTCTAGGCAGGCCCAGGACCTTGCTCGCAGCTATGGCATCCCCTACATTGAGACATCAGCTAAGACCCGGCAGGTGAGTCTGCTCCCTGTTCCACAGCTAGTCAGGGATTCACCCCGCCCCACCCCAGCCAGGGAACAGAGCTCACCGCCCCTCTCCCTCAACACAGGGCAGCCGCTCTGGCTTTGGCTCCAGCTCCGGGACCCTCTGGGACCCCCCGGGACCCATGTGACCCAGCGGCCCCCATGCTGTAAGTCTCCCAGACGGCAGGGCTGTGAGAGGGAGGCAAGGGCCAGGGTCTGGGCTTATGCCCTGCAGTTCTGGGTTGACACAGCTCCAGGGCAGGATGGGGTCCATGGAGAGAGCTGCCCTGAGCCAGGCCGGAGCGGTGACCCAGGGCTTTCCTGTCCCCAGGGTGTCCTGTGGTTTTGAGTACCTGCTAGCTTTGAGCCCTTTAGTGTTGTTAGGGTGTCCATACCTGAGCCATACTGGGGGTCTGGGAGAATACTGAGTTGAGTGGCTCTGACTTTCAAGGATATGCAGGAGTTGGCCTGCTTAACGAGAGGAGAGTGGCCCTTTGCTTTTTAGGTGGCTGGAGCTCAGCTCCCTGATTATGTTGGTTGTGCGGCTGAGGAAGGGATCCTTTAGGGTTAGAGTGTTACCTGGTCCAGGCAGGGAGTTTCTTACCCAGACAGCACCCCCTTCTTCCTCAGAGTCCTCTCTGATCTAGTCCCTCTGTTTCCAGGGTGTGGAGGATGCTTTCTACACGCTAGTACGTGAGATTCGGCAGCATAAACTGAGGAAGTTGAACCCACCTGATGAGAGTGGCCCTGGGTGCATGAGCTGCAAGTGTGTACTGTCCTGACACCAGGTGAGGCAGGGGCCAGCAGACATCTGGGGCAGTGGCTCCAGCTCGCCAGATGAACTTCATATCCACTCTGATGTCCCTGCTCCCCCAAATCTGCCAGTCCCCCTGCCTGCGGTCAGATGTGTCCTTTGCGCCCGTCCCGGCACAGGCTTAGGACGTGGAGGTGCCGGATGCAGGGAGGAGGTGCAGACGGAAGGAAGGAAAGAGGAGGGAAGGAAGGAAACAATGCTGGAGCCGGGCCAATCCAGGGATGGTGGACAGATGTGACCAAGACCTTCGCATGGACAATTTGAACAGACTGTTATGAACTGTCCCTTTTGCCATGGGCACCCCAGTCCTCGACCCCTCTCAGTTCCCTCCGGGCGCCTGTGGGGCACAGGTTGAATCACAGTAAATTATTTGATGGTCTTGACTTGTCTCTGGCTGTAAGTAGGAGGTGTAGAGCCTGTGGCCTCACAGAAGATACTGGGCACCTGGGATCCATCATCTGCCTTGTTCCTGTTTGCAGTTGAGGCTAGGGAGGCTGGCCTGAGACCCTGACTGTGCAGTCCTTCCTTTCTGCCTGCCCCAGCGGTCTTGTGTTTCCTGCAGAAAGCTAGAGGCAACACAGGCATAGTCAGGTGATATGAAAAGTGACCTATTGTCCTTTAGCTAATGGGAGGAGGAGGGCTTGAGAGCAAGGGACCATCCCTTGTCTCCAGCAGGAAAACACATTTCCTGCATTCTGGGGTCCATGAAATACAGGCTCAAGGATCACAGAGGGTAAGAGCTGCCCTGCATCGGCATCCTGCAGCTCTCTGACTTGTGATGGGGATTCTAGGACTCTGGAAATAGGGCCCCAGTATTTCTGTATAGCCGTGGGCCTCGGTCCCATTGGTGTCTAGAACCTGGCAATCTCCCTGAGACGGTGAAAACCGCTACCTCTCTGAGGTGTACAGATAGTCTCCAAGTCCTGTATGGTCTAGAGAGGCACATATAGGCTAGGTCTGCTGCTCACTGCTCCCAAAGAATGGGCCATGCCCAGTGCCTCATTCTAGCACTAGTTATGGCTACAGGAGGGCTCATTCCCTTATCCTGGTCCTCATCCTGGCTGCTGGGCCCCATGGTGGGTTCCCTTTACTCTCTCAAGACTCAAGTGAAACTGGGAGAACTCCTGTTTCTGGACACTTGCAAAGAGGTTAATAGGCCTGCTGCTGAATGACTGGGCAGTGGGACACCACACTGGCTCTCTTTCACAGCAGCTAAATGTTCTGCTTCCTTGTCTCCGTGCATTTGAAGCTCTTGAAGTATCATCTGAAGCTTCACTGACTCCTTTAGAGCCATGTAGGTCATGAACTCAAGGCAGGTTGGAAACAGGACCTGCTGTGCCAGGGTTTGTCTTTGGCGTTTGGGGGTTTTAGCGGTCTGGGGACATGGCTGTGATTGTAAGGGTAGATAAGATCTTAGTGTTCCCGTTGGCAGCAATAGGGTGGGAAACATGGGGCAGAGCTAGTGAGGCCTAGACACACCTGCCCTGGGAAGGGACCACAAACTGGAGCTAATATGGGAAACACGTCACACTTTACCCTTCAAGACTCCACAGTGGAGGCTGAAAGTGTTTTGTGGTCCATCCTGAAGCAGCATGTCCTACAGAGAGGCTTCAGGAGACTTTCTTTTTTTTTTCCTTCTTCAAGACAGGGTTTCTCTGTGTAGTCCTGGTTATCCAGGACTCTCTTTGTAGACTAGGCTGGCCTTGAACTCATAGCAGTTTGCCTGCCTCTGCCTCCCCGAGTCCTGGGATTTACAGGCGTACACCACCATGCCCAGCTTGCTTCAGGAGATTTTCAAGGATACACAGTTGGACTCTGGACTGGGCCCTGGGAAAGGTCATTGTCCATGTCCTGCCTGTGTCCATCTTGCTGAGGCTACTGCACCCTTCTGTTTCTACCTCTGTGGTTTTGTAGACATAAGACCACAGCCAAAGAGAGATCCTGCCAGGAAAGCGCCCTCAACTCTTATCTGTGATATGGGGGATGGGCTTAGTGCTTGGGACAATACATACCTCCTTCCCAAGTGACCACACTTGGCCTGGCCCACCCTTCCCGGCTGGCTCACTCAGAGCTGGAGAGATAGGCAATGTAGTTGTTTGAGTGTGGCCCTTGGCTAGCCAAGGTCTGTACTGGATACCTGATGAGTGACTTCTGTGTACCTTGAGGGCTGCTTTTTTGCCGTGGTCACAACCATGTCCTCATCTTCTAAGATGTAGATGTCCCAGGGCTTTAAGGGGACTTGAGGACATCTGCAAATACAGCTGGCATGAGAGGCTGTCACCTGTCCAGGTACAGACTGGTGGCCTGAGCACCTGAGCACAAACTCTGCATTCTCTGTAGAGAGGTGATTCCATGAGGCTGTTATCAGGCTTGTAGCTACTCAGGGATGGACTTAGCAGGTATGATCCTAGGGTAAATGGCTTGCTGAGACTGTTTCCTTGGTTTTCCTATTCTGTCCGGTCTGTGAATGGCACATGTTCAAACTCTGGCCTGTGCTGTGGGTTAGGTGGCAGGAGGGCAGCAGGGTCACTCTGGGCTTAGCTCATCTGTTGGATATGGGCTCTCTTGGGCCTTCTCGGGAGGCAGGGGCGCTCCTAGGACAGTAACACTCCTGAGCTGGGCAACTGGCACTGTAGAGCAAGGAAGGTCTCTGCTTGTCCTTACTTCCTTGCTATAATACAGCAGGATCCCCAACAGTTGGTGTCTCTTCACTGTCCTGATGGAGGAATAGTTATTCAAGGTCTCCTAGCCACAGTAACCCCCAAACCTTTTTTCTAGGTCCAGCCCAGTGCCTCCAGGGATGAGGCAGGTCCCTTCACTCACTGTATACTTTTTTATTTCATTCTCACAATAAGCTGGGAGCTAAAAGGGGGTGGCTGGAACTTCATTTTTAGAATCTAAAGAGCCTATAGCCTACAAGTAAACTTATTCTGGGGGTGGGGGGTGGTCACAGCTTGAGGACGGTGGCAGGTGTCCTAGGGGTCAGAGGCTTCCCCTCACCCCACTGGGAGTCCCCATTATATACCCACAGCTTCAGAGAAGACAGGAGGAACAACAACATAAGTCCTAGCTAGACTTGCTGCCCTACTACGTCCTGGTTCCTGAAGAGTAGGGTAGCCTTTGAGGCAGAGGAAGTCTTATGACAGATAGGGTTTGAGCACCAGTTGGGCCCATGTTGAGCACCAGTTGGGCCCATGTAGCTTGCAGGGGACAGAGACAGGGATAGGTGTGGCTGCCTCTAGTGCTCAGGAGAGGACGTGGATAGGCTGATGCTGTCACCTAATTTGGGGCCATCAAATAGTGAGAGCTGCAGATTAACCAGCAGCAATGTATCACCTGGGTTTGTTCATGCACAGGTGGGAAGGAGTCCTTAGACCATCTGCAGCAGACAGTCCAGTGGCTCAGAACAAATAGGGCAGGGAAGGTGTTATGGCTGTAAACTGTCACCACTAATCAGTGTGGCAGTCACCCAGCCTAGCTATTTGGTGCCATGAGAAGCTGTTTACTTAACGTGGGTAATATGGTACTCATTAATGGGTTGGCAGCTGGAACAGTGCCCAAAAGGCATCTTCCTTATTGAGGACCATTGTCAGGACAGAGGTAACCTGGCCCATACCTAGGCAGTGGCCCCTGCTTTCAGGAATCAAAATATAAGAGGAGATCACCCAAGAGGGCTGAGATCCCTGGGGGGCGGGGTGGGCTGCAAGAGGCACCAGGGGAATGTGTAACCTTTGCACTGTCCCCTGATATCAGAGTTCTAGCCAGAGGACAGGGACCCCTGCTGTGGACAGCCTCTGGAAGGAGGTCTGGAAAGTAGACTGGGGAGAGGAGCAGCCACTTTGGGAACTGCCTGCTGCTTTTGTTCTCTTATGGGGTTGAGGTACATGAAAACCTTTCTCTGCTAAGCTGAAGTAGTAACAGGATCCGGGCTTGAGGACCAGTAATGTCTATTGGTGTTTCAGTAGGCTGCCATGTGCTTCTTCTGGGATGGGATGCTGCAGCACTGCCAAGATTATGGGGTTCTGGGGTAAACCCATGAAGGAATCAGGTCCAGAGAAGACCAGGAGCTAGGATCTTCACACCGTTTCCATCCTTGTCCTAGACCGGAAGCCCCCGCTCCCAGCTGCACCTCAGTGACCATAGTTAATCCTGAGTGCTGTGTCCTGCCTACACAGTGACACAGAGCTGGCCTGGACGTGAAGGTGCAGGACTAAGGGAGGGGATGAGCCACTTCCTGTAAGAGGAAAAGAAGTACTGCTGAGAGAACCTAGAAGCAGGTGATGGGACACCCATACCCATGGTCATACACATGTCACAGGGCCCTGCATGGCCATAGGAGAGGTCACAGTAGTAAGTAAGGCTGCTGCCCACCAGTACCGTGACAGTCCCTGGCAGGGAAACCCAGGCTAAGTTGGGGCCATGCACCAAGCAAGCAGCAAGCTTCTCAGTGCACCGCTGTTTCTGTGTTTTGAGAGCAAACCATCTCGGGTATTCAGTGGATGAAGTCTGATTTTCATTCTGGCAGATTTATTTTGTTGTTTGTGCACAGGGTTTCAGTCTTTGGAATACAGTCCCACAGGTTTGAACCAGAGTGTAGTCTTTTGAGCCAGGTGGAAGTCACCAGTTTGGTTCTCTAAGAAACCAGTGTCTTCCAAGGAGGAGGCCTAATAGGTGTTCAATGGAGGGGCTGTACGCCTGGCTCCGTACTCCTGGAGTCTCTGCTTCCCCCTACCTCTTCCTAGTCTTCCCTCAGGAGTACTATCTTACAACAGGCAGTTCATGCCCTTTAGCCTCGCATCTTCGCTGGCAGGCCAGCTCTGTGTCACTTTATGGGTCTTTTCTTGCAAGTGGAGGTCTAGGAGTCCCTCGTTCTGGTAGGGCATAAGTCATGGAGAGTGCTTTTCACCATACATCATTATTTGTTTGCCAGTATCATTCTCCTTGGTGCCACCTGGGTCCTAGCCCCTCCTGTTTAGGACTTGATGCCTAGTAGTACCCAGCACAGAGGTGTAGCCACTTTCTATAAGAAAAGGACTCTTGGTAGTATTACCCCTCTTGGGCCCCTACATCTTGCTTTGGACTCCCCCTTGTCCTCCCTGGGGCTCCCATCCCTTCTGACATCCCTATACACCTAGGGATCCATGCTCCTGTCCTTGCCCTACCTTTCCCTCCAGGACTCCAGACTTCTGGGCTCCTGACAAAGGATGTGGCTCTGGGTCTCTCTGCCATGCTTCCTAAGATTGTTTGGCCCAAGCCAGGTGTGGTGCTGTGCCTTTAATCCCAGCACTTGGGAGGCAGAGGCAGGCAGATCTCTGTGAGTTCCAGGCATGCCTGGTCTACAGTGCCAGTTCCAGGACAACCAGGGCTACACACAGCACACACAGAAACCCTGTCTTGAAAACCAGAAAAAAAAAAAAAAAAAAAAAAAAAAAAAAAAAAAAAAAAAAAAAAAGAATGCTTGCCCTGCTGTTGTTCTCCCCCACCCCCCAACAATCTGCATTGTACCTTCTTTTCTCTAAATGAGGCTGGGAGAAGCTCTGCCATTTATTTATTTGTTTGTTTATTGAGACAGTCGCACTGTGTAGTTTTGGCTAGCCTGGAACTCTCTATGTAGACCAAGCTGGTCTTAAACTCACAGAGATCCACCTGCCTCTGCCTCCCAAGTGCTGGGATTAAAGGTGTGTATCACCACAGCTGGCTGAGACTCAGTTTTAATGTTGGCCTTCCAGAAAATCTTTATTTCTCCCTCTTCTGTTTTTTTTGTTTTGTCTGTTTTTTTTTTTTTTTTTTTTTAATATATGTGTGGTTTCATTTTCTATTTGTAAACCTCTTCCTAAAATTTTGTATACCCAGGGAAGCTCCCGGGTTGGGGCTACCTTGGACTATATACCTGTCTGTGTGTATTAATGATATTGCCTACTCTATGCCTGGTCCTAGAAGGAGAAAGCCAAGCTGGCCTGGTTTGTTCATGGTACCTCTTGGGATTCTGCTGTCCCTGCTTCTGATCTTTTCCAATCCCGACACTTAATGTTCTAAATGTTTTTCCTTGTAAAGATGGGGTTCAGTTCCTTATCCTAAATGTGGGATGAACTTGGGGAAAAGCTTTTCACAAAATGAGAAATGTGGGCCTGAGAGGGACATGGGGTAAAGCTGTAGTAGGTATTGCTGCCACTAGGGCAGGACTGGTGACTAGAACATGTAATTGGCAATGTTCTTGTTTACCTCCCCAGTTAGTAGGAGATCTGTGCTCTGGGTGGGACCTGTCTGTTCATGCTGTTCCTGGCAGGGATGCAAAGGTAGTTTCTGGATCCCTAGGAGAAGAAACCATACCTGTCTCAGGACCCTGTGAAGAAGTATGTAGGGAGAATAATAATCCTGAGTGGCAGGCCTTGGGTGGCCATAGGAGGACCGGAGTGTGGATTAGGGAGATCATATTGGCTCGTGGCCCTCAGGAGAGGTCAGTCCTCCTGAAACTGGACTTTGCCTCCCATGGTTAAAGAGTGGACAAGGGCTCAGGTTTTAACCTTCGGTTCCTTCCTTCCACCAGGTGGCATCACTACCCCTCAACTGGGTTGGCCCAATCTTTGGCATCAGGTTCTTTCTCAGCAGGGTAACCTTGCAGGCATGGTAGAAACCTGGAAACCAAGACCTGTATCCTCAGGGCCCAGACAATGTACTTCCCTTTCTGAGGAGCCATAGAAGTAATACACATGAGGGCAGCAACAGGTGGTCTGAGGGGATCTCAGCTCAGCACTTCACCCTTTGCCATCCTGCATTGACTCTAGTTCTTAGCTGTTTCCTGTGTGTCTAAACTTCTGCCAGTTTTGCTAGAACATGAGAAATGTGAGAAATGATGGCATTGGCTGGATTGTTCCTTCTTGGGGTGGCTGTAGGACACTGCATTGCCCTCTTGCTTAGAGCTCTGAGGTCACCAAGCAGGAAATGTGCAGACCCTGGCCAGGTCATGCTGGTAGCCTCAATTCATGGCATGTGACCTTCTTCAGGCCATAGAATCTTGAGATCCAGCTGGGTCTTAGAAGGCAGCCACAGCAAGTCCTGAGCTGCATAAACAGTTGCTAGGGATGGAGTTCTGCTCAGTGACCCTCCCACCAATTGCTATCCATGCCCTTGAACTTGCAGTCATCCTGCCTCAGCCTACTGAGTGCTAAAATTACCAGTGTATGCCATCATGTTCAGCTAATATATGTAGTTTTGAAAACATTTTGCTGAAGAGATGGCTCAGAGACTAAGAACACTGGCTGTGGAAAAAAAGAAAAAAAGAACACTGGCTGTTCTTCCAATATGTTTTAAGTTCAATTCGCAGCAACCCCATGGTGGTTCATAACCATCTATGATGTGAACTGGTACCATCTTCTGGCCTGCACACATGCAGGCAGAATACTGTATAAATAATAAATCTTAAGGAAGAAAGAAAGAAAGAAAGAAAGAAAGAAAGAAAGAAAGAAAGAAAGAAAGAAAAGGAAAGAAAGGAAAGAAAGGAAAGAAAGAAAAAAGAAAAAGAAAAAAAGAAGGAAGGAAAGAGAAAGAAAAGAAAAAAAACATCCTGCCAGTCTTTCTTTTGATTAATGTGCTAGGTCTGTTTTCATTTAATGTAATTATTGAGATGTTTGCCTTTAGTTCTATCATTTTACTGTTTTCAGTCCCTGCTGTCTGTTTCTAATTTTCTCTTTTTCCCTTTGTTGTGTAACAGTCTGATCCCAGGGTCTAGAGACAGGTTCCAAGGTGCTGCAGAAACAAAGACAGATCAAAAATTGCACAGGGTCACGCTATATGGCACTCACCGACAGTTGGGCAGCAAGTAGCAAGGCCATTGGCTTCCTGTGATCAGGACCAAAAGCCAAGTATGCATATTGGTTAGAAAGAGGTGACTTCATTTTGCTAGAATATTCCTGGTTTATATTAATAGCAAAGTCAGGTGTATCGCTAGTTCAGAGACTAGGATGAAAACAGCATACACCACTTTAGTGGGTTTATGTGTTTATAGTTTGCTGGGAAACTGTGGGGAAAGGGGACTAGGGTTATCCAGAGCATCATGGTAGTTATAATTGAAGATGCCAGTGGTCAAAATAAGCTGGATCCACATACCCTTCCTGCCTTTATTTGGGTTATATGAAACATTTTGTATATTCTGTTAAAAAAAATTTTTTTTTAATGCTTTAGCTGAGCAGTAGTGGCACACACCTTTAGTCCTAGCACTTGTGAGGCAGAGGCAAGCAGATATCTGAGTTCAAGGCCAGCTTGGTCTACAGAGTGAGTTCCAGGACCAAGGGCTACACAGAGAAACCCTGTCTGGAAAAAAAACAAACAAAAGAGTTTTTATTACATCTATCTATCTATTTATAAAATGTGATTTGTGGGCTAGAGAGATGGTTCAGAGGTTAAGAGCACTGGTTGCTCATATGCTCATGTCTGTCTGTCCTTTATCTCTCCAAATGCTGTCAAGCAGCAGCCAGCACAGCAGCTTTTACTAGTGAGGTCACTGTGCTGCATATTTTGCTACCTAGTGGCTTTTTGGAATCTTCCTACTTTGGGGCTATCAAGAATAATATCCTTGGGACTAGGGAGATGTCTGTGGTAAACAGCACTTTTTCTTGCAGAGGACCTAAGTCCAGGTCCCATGACCACACGGTAGTCCAACACCAGCTCTAGGGTGACCAACACCTCCTCCGACCTCCACGGGCACCAAACATGCACAGGGCACAGGGCACACATACATACTTGCAAGGCTAGAGAGATGGCTCAGCAGTTAACAACACTTGTTCTGGGCTGGAGAGGTGGCTCAGAGGTTAAGATCACTGGCTGCTCTTCCAGAGGTCTTGAGATTAGTTCCCAGCAACCACATGGTAGCTCACAACCATCTATAATGAGATCTGCTGCCTCTTCTGGCATTCAGGTGTACATGCAGGAAGAACGCTGTATACATAATAAATATTTTTAAACAAATAAATAAATATGTGATTTGTATAATCAGGTTTTCAAGCCACATAGAGTTGAGTTTGGAAAGAATGTCTGGAAGTAGAGATTCAAGAATACAATTCCTAGGCCAGTACAGGGTTTCTATGTGTAGCCTTAGCTGTCCTGGATTCAATTTATAGACCAAGTTGGCCTTGAACTCACAGAGATCTACCTGTCTCTATCTCCCTGAGTGCTGGGGTTAAAAGAGTACCCCACCGTACCCGGCTACAAATCTCATTTTAGAAATAGTTAGAATAAGCTATCTTTTTGGGGCCAGAGACGGCTCATTAGTTAAAGCCTTTGCTTCTCAAGGATGAGAACTGGAGTTTGGATCTCCAGAAACTCACTTAAATTCTAGGTAGGTGTGGTATCTTTCTTTTATTCCAGCCTCAGAAGGTAGAGACTGGGCATTCCCAGAGCAAGATGGCTAGGGAGACCAGCTGCATCCAAGACCACTGGACTTGGCTGAGAGATCCTGGTTCTGGTAAAGAAGGAGGAAGAGCAGTGGAGGATAATTCCCTGACAGCAACCTCAGGCCTCCACACACACATAGGCTCTCACACATGCAAAAACATGCATGCCCATGTACATTTCACTCATACATGCTACGTGAAAATGGGGAGAGCTCCCTTAGGTAGGAATTTTCTGATCAAGACAGTAAAAATTAGCAAAAATGTTTGAGGACATAGCTCAGTTGTTAGAGTGCTTGCCTGGCATATAGGAGGGCCTAGATTCAATCGCCGTCACCACAAAAAGTGAGAATAGTGGCACACACTTTTAATCCCAGTACTTGGGAGATATTATGCAGAAGGATCAAGAGTTCATAGCTTTGCTCACTTTGGCAGCACATACACTAAAACTGGAAGGATAAAAAGAAAATTAGCATGGCTCCTGCACAACAATGACACACAAATTTGTGAAGCATTCGTTTAAAAAAGGGGGGCTGGAGAGATGGCTCAGCAGTTAAGAGCACTGTCTGCTCTTTCAGAGGTCCTGAGTTCGATTCCCAGCAACCACATGGTGGCTGACAACCATCTATAGTGGGGTCTAATGCCCCCTTCTGGTCTGCAGGTGTACATGCAGATAGAGCACATAAAATAATAAATAAATACTATAAAACAAAACAAAAACAACAAACAAACTTGCTTGAGTCAGGTGTGGTGGCAGGCCAACCTGGGCTAATAGTAAGTTCCATGACGGCTACGTAAAGAGCCACACAAACACATATATTTATATATGTGTGTGTCTCTCTCTAGACACCCCGCCACCCCCCCCAAAAAAAAAACAAAATAAATAAAAACCACACACACACAGAGGTGGCTCAGCTGGTACAGTACTTGTTTTATAAATGTGAGGACTGAGCAGGGCATGTCGGCATAGGCCTGTAATCCCAGCACTAAGGGAGGCAGAGGCAAGTGGATTGCTCTGAGTTCGAGGCCAGCCTGGTCTATAACGTGAGTCTAGGACAGCCAAGGCTACAAAAAAGTAAGGACTGGAATTGATGGTGTTCTAAGACATCAAGGCTCACGTGTACATGTACATGAACATACATGTTCACACAAACATAAGTTTTCTGTTTGAAATATGCAAAAAGTTTATGTTGCATATTTCAATGCAACAAAGCTCATGTGTATGCCTGCCCACACCAATTTAAAAAAAAATAATTTTGAGGCAGGATCTCCCTATGTAGCTTTGGCTTCCCTTGAACTCACAGAGCTCCCAGTGCTGAGATTAACACCACCATGTTTAGCCCTAATACACCAATTTAAGAACCTAGTCTGTGTGGCAGGGCATGGTGGTAAACACTTTTAATCACAGCATTCAGGAGCAGAGGCAGGTGGATCTCTGAGTCGGAGGCCAGCCTGATCTACAGAGTAAGTTCTAGCCCAGCCAGGGTATGTAGAGAGATTCAGTCTCAAAAAGAAAGGAGGGCTGGCGAGGCTGACTCACAGGTTAAGAGCACTGGCTCCTTTTCCAGGAGTTCTAAGTTCAATTCCTAACCATCTATAATGAGATCTGGCACCCTCTTCTGGCATGCAGGCAGAATACTGTATACATAATAAGTAAATCTTTAAAAAAAAAAAAAAAAAAAAAAAAGAGGAGGAGAAAGGAGGAGGAGGTGTCCTATAGAATAATGAGAGTATGGTTGATCTTTTATTTTTATTTTTCTCTTTTTTAAATTTAACTTTTAGCTGGGTGTGTTAGCACACACCTGTAATTCCAAGGCTTGGAGAGGCAGAGGCTGGCATATCACTGTGAATTTGAGGCCAGCCTAGTCTACAAAGTGAGCCCAGGATAGCCAAGGCTATAGAGAAATTCCGTCTTGAGAAAACCGACCAACCAACCAAACAAACAAAAACCCTAAAACCTTTATTTTAAAAATAATTTTAGATTTATTATTTTATGTGTATTATTTTAGGTGTTTTGCATACTTGTCATATATGTCTGTGTACCACATGCATGCTTGGTGCCTGAGGTCAGAAGAGGGCATCCAATCCCCTGGGACTGGAGCTACAGATGGTTGTGACCCACCATCAAACCTGGGTCCTCTGGAAGAACAAAAAATACTCGTAACGACTGAACCAGCTCTCTTAACTTTTTAACTTGTAAAGATTTATATTTCTATTATTTGTAAATATGTGTGTGTGTGTGGCGGGGTGTGTATGTATGGGTGTAGGTGTCAGATTTCCTGGAGCTAGTCTTATAGGCAGTTGTAAGCTGCCTGACTGGGTACTGCGAACCACCTTGAATTCTCTAGGAAAGCAGTAAGCACTTTTAACCACTGGGCCATCTCTGTAGGCCCTTACTTTTATTTATTTATTTATTTATTTATTTATTTATTTATTTATTTATTTATTTATGTGTGTGTGTGTGTGTGTGTGTGTGTGAATGGAAGCCACATGTGTGCATGTGTCCTTGGAAATCAAAAGAGGGTATGGGACACCTGAGCTGGAGATACAGATGTTTATGAGCCTTCACTGGGTCCTGTGCACGGAAGGAAGTGCTTTTAATAGCTGAGCTATCTCTCCAGCCCCTATTTTTACTAATTGTACTGTGTTTTCTCTAAGATTTATTCTTACATGTGTATCATTCCTATATGAAAAAAATTTTTAATATAGTTTTTAAGGAGTGGGATGGTGGTGATGCACACCTTTAACACCAGCACTCGGGAGGCAGAGGCAGAGGCAGGTAAATCTCTGTGAGTTTGAGTCTAGCTTTGTCTACAGAGTGAGTTCCGATACAGCCAAGACTACACAGGGAAACCCTGTCTCAAAAAACTGAGAGAGAAAAAAAGTTTTTAAAGAAAGCTGTTCTAGGACTGGAGAGATGGCTCACAGGTAAAGAGCACAGGCTGCTCTTCCAAAGGTCTTGAGTTCAATTCCCAGCAACCACATAGTGGCTCACAACCATCTATAGTGAGATCAGGTGAGCAGGTGTAATTCATGCAGAACACTGTATACATAATAAATAAATCTTTAAAAAAGAAAAAAAAAAAGCCATTTTGTAAGATGCTCCGCAGTGCTGAGGGCAGGTATGTTCTGGTTTTCTGAAGGAAAGTCTTTCCAGAATTCCACACTTCCACTACAGCAAACAGCACTCAGGCTCAGCCATCCTTAGGCCTTGACCTCAGTATCACTCACCTGCCAGTTGTGGATCCTCATGGATCCGGGGAGGTAACTTCATAAAATCTTTCTAGCATTCCCACTTCCCTGGACAGCCAAGGTGGGTTTTCAGAGATTCACCACACACAGAAGCACCCCAACCCGTTCTTGTCCGTTGCTGCTCCAGGATAGTACCCTCAACTTCAGCAGACTATAGCTTCCTTGAATGTTGCCAGCTCGTGCCCACTAGAGGGAGCCAGAGCCCTGCACAGCTGGCCCTGCTGCTGGTGAGATGGTTTCATTAATCCCAAAGAGCACAGGAACAGCAGCCGGTTTCACTTCTGGATTCCATGGTATAAAATTCAAAGATCAACATTTTCTATTTGTGAGATGCACGTGCACCCCTCCCCCCAAAAAAAAAGTTTCATGAGACTTTGAGCACTGGAAATATGGCTCACCTGAACGAAGATGTTCCATGAACAAACTAACCACAGGGCCTCAGGTACTGCATTGGAAATATGTGAACAATTGTGTTCAATTTAATTTAAAAATACTGATTACATGCTGAAGTGATATTTTGGACATACTGACTTAAATGTCAGGTTCACCTGTTTCCTTTAAATTCCCTTTTAACATTTATTTAATTATTTGTGTATGGATGTGGGCGTGCCAGACTCTGTGAGGGGACATCAGAAGACAAGCCAGGTGAGGCAGTTTTCTCCTTCCATCATATCGGTGCCCAGCATAGAAGGAATATGTCAGGCCTGACAATGAGTGCTTTGCCAAGAGATCCATTACCTGTCTCCTCCCTGATAAAATTTCCTATTAGGTCCTGGAACATCATGTTTGTGGGTGCACTGCATTTCTTAAGAGCTTCCTGGTCTACAAGAAGTGCTAGTAACAGCAGTCAGAATGCAGTGTTTTCATCTAGAACACGGGACTTTAGGCTGATACTATTTTGCTTATGTACCTTCAATTTGTCTATAATGAAGGACTTCTTCTAAGACAAAGAAAATGTAAACAAAATCAATTTCTACGTCTTCCAAAGTGGGTAGGTTCTTTTTAGTATTGCACCAGAAAACCTTAATTTTGCTGGGGATATGTGGGATGGAATGTGGATTTGAGGGTCTGCCTGGTCACTCAGCACCTCTGTACTTCTAACCCTAGAGCAATGAGGAGCAGAGACAGGCAGGTTGTTGAGTCTTGCTTATTTATACTTTAGCACCAGGTTCAGTGTGTGCTGTAGTTTGGATGAAAATAGACCTCACAGGCTCCTACGTTTGAATCCTTGATCCCCAGTTGGAATTCTCTGGGAAGATTAGGATGTATGGCCTTCTTGAAGAACAGATGGGCTGTGAGGTTTCTAAACCCCACCACACTATTTCCAGTTAGGTCTCTCTGTCTCCCATGTGTAGATGAGGATATAAGCCCTCAGCTACTGCTCCAGAATCGGGACTGCCTGGCTCCCTGTTGCCATGCTCCCAATCATGTTGGTTAGGAACTCACCTTCTGGAACACAAAAAAATGAAAAGATTTCTTTTATAAGTTTCCTTGGACATGGTATCACACAGCAGTTAGAAAAGACAGTGAGAGACCCTGTCTGAAGGGAACAGGGAGGGATGTAATAGAGCAGGACCCTGGCTGTCCTCCTCCCACATACTCCACACACACAAAAAATATAACCAGGAGATCAGGTGTGGTGGCCATTTACTGAGGGTTTGTTCAAATGTAAATATATCAAGCAAGCAAGGCATAATAATCCCAGAATTTAGGGTAGCTAAGGCAGGACTGACTATGACTTCGAGACCAGCCTGGGCTACATAGTGTTTCAGATCATCAAGAGCTATACAAGCAGGCCTTGGCTCCGAAACACAACAAAACAAACACCTCCAATACATTTTGGTAGAGGTTCCGGAAACACATTTCTCATGTAGGTCAAGAGCGAGTCCACCACCACCCATCATTATCCAGCAATGAAGGCGTCAACCACCCCGGAGCACCATTACTACAGAGCAGGGTGGATTTCCCAGCTGGACAAGCCACCCGGGAGGGACTTTCCGGCAGAAGGCAGGCGGGTTCCGAGCGTCCCTTCAGTCATCGAAAGTACCTCGTGATAGGCCCCGCCCCCGCGGCAAGCCCCGCCCTCACCACGCGGACACGCCTCGGAGGGCCTCGCTTCGCCTCCTGCACTCCAGTCAGAAGGCTGCCATCCCGCTCCGGGTCTTCCAGGCCTCGGTCTTCCTGAGGTCAGTTTCAGTGCTCTGTTAGCTCGTGGTCACCCAGCGGTCCGGCCCACTTAGCCGGAGAAGAGGAAGAGGCGAGATGGGCG